AACCGTCTAAAACCGCTGAGAATCAAGATTGATCCACATTTTATGTGAAACAAGCTAAAAGTCATACCCCGTACCTTGCTACTTGTTGAAAAATATCAATTTTGGAAATCCATTGAGTAATAAAGAAAGATTTTGAAAGTAAGCCTTGATGAACTTCAAATAAGAAATATTTGTATTCTAAATTTTTCAAAGTTGAAATCATGAGTCAATTGAAGCTAGACCACCATCGAAAACCTGGAAGCACTGGACGGCCGTTTCGTCCTATTATGTTAGACATTAACACCGTTGGATGCCAGCTCAATGGTCTATCGGTTAAGGGCTTCGGCTCGAGACTGGCAGGTCCTGGTTTCGAATCTCGAGAGAGCGGGTCCGTGGATGCGCACTGCTGAGGAGTCCCACAATAGGACGAAATGGCCGTCCAGTACTTCCAGGTTTTCGATGGTGGTCTAGCTTCAATTGACTCATGATTTCAACTTTGAAAAATACTGAAATCTCCACAAATCACCTTCTGATTCTTTATTTTTACCAATGTTTTAATGAATAGTTAACGTGTATGAAAATTAGATAATTCCCAGCTGACGAGTTTTCCAAAAAGTCTACTTGTCATTTATGAAAATATTTGATTGTTTACTAATGTCAATCAATCGATTGAAAATGTTTTTCTTATCAATTATCTTTTACATTATTAAGTAGTGGACATTTCTATTAATAACAAGGAGTTACATAAGTTATTTATCATTGGAAATATACTTGGCTGAAATTACAACCCCCTTGAAAATCCTCTTAATTTGTTCATAATTGTTTTGTTTGACTTATGACGATTATTACCGATTTAGCTGACAATTGAGCAAACATAGAATTTCTCCTATCTAACCAAAATTGCTCCAAGAATATTGATCAGTCTAAATCGTCTACTTATTATTGCATAGTAGTTTGATATTACAATGACATTTTTATGACATACAGTATGGGGTTACAGAGATTGTTAAGATTTTTTGATTGATATCATGAATCGATCAATGTTAGACCTCCATTGAAAACCTGGAACCACCTAACTGCCATTTCGTTCTAGTACGGAACTCTTCAGAAGAGTACATCTAAGATCCCACGCGCGGCATTCGAACGCAGGACCTAGTGACAAGCTTCGTGAGGTAATTCATGGAGTTCTAATGAGAAACCGCGATCGATAGAGTTAATCCGTTTCAGGTAGAGACATGTATCTACCTCAGACAATGGAAGATGGTCGCTCAACTTCGTAGATTGGTTGAGGTTAGATATTAACACCGTTGGATGTTGGCTCAGTGGTCTAAAAGTTGAGCGTTCGTTCACGAGACGTTTGGTCTTGGGTTCGAGTCTCGAGTGCAGGATCGTGGATTTCCACTTCCGAAAAGACCCATACTCGGAAGCTTACAACTATCCAATGCTTACAGGCTTCCAATGATGGTCTAACATTGACCGATTTAATTTGAACACATAAACGTTGTTACAACAGGGCATCAACTACATAGTCGTTTAACATCCTCAACTCGGAGAGGCCAGGTTACACAAACATAAAGCAAAACTGCTATCACTGACGAGTTGTAGATCCGATCTTTTACAGCCAGACTAACATCGCGAAGTAGTCAAAGATGGCCTAGATTGGCATAAACCGCTCTGACTTCCAACATACGTGAATTGATTTCATCACTCATGTAATTACCAGCACTTACGCAGCTACCCAGATAAGCGAAATTCTCGACTACTTCTGTCTGCTCACTATCCATTGTGATTGCATGATCAAGGTTCTGCCAGTCTTGTAGAAGTACTTTGCACTTCGAAAGTGCAAAGTACATGTAATACCTACGAAAACTGGTTAAGTATAGATTTTATGGCGTGATTATCATCGCACATTTAGACAATATCATCTGCATAATCAAGATCAAGAAGTCTTTTTACGGTCAACAAATTCACCCCACCATTGCCTAAGTCCATCAGAGCTGCTTGCAGATCTGTTCATTTCTCACTCTTTTTTAAATTCTGTTCATCTGAAACTTAACTCTTGAAACTCACGCTCACATCTATCCTGCATTGTTACATTTCTATCTCGTAACGTGCAAAGATAGTTTTCTCTTAAAATAGTAATGGGCTTTTGAGTGCTGAGTAATCCCACTCAAACTATCCTCAGATTTTTGAACCAAGTCCCATTTTCCCTATGCAGACGAGATTTTCAAGGCAAGTACTTCTTTTAAAGAATGAATTGTCGAAACATATCAAAACGATTTCTAATTTGGAAAATTGTGATCAAAGTGTGAGTCCTTTAATTTCTTTTGACGTTAAACAAAGGGATTATTTTTTAAAATGAAATTCGGTCATTATAAAGAACGACCAATTTATAAATGTGCAGCTTGTCCTTAAATATTGATAGATTTACTTAGAAGAAAGAAATGAAGTTGACTTCCAGAAACGCAATATTTAACTGTGATATACACTTTGTATAACGTACTGGTATGTCAGAAGCAATGAATGAGGAAGTAATCTTCAATACATTAAAGTCAATAAAAACAATTGTTTCTTAGCAAACCCAATCCTCTTTTCTGATGTCAGTCCATTACGACCCAATTCACACAATCGATTTCTCACTGAAGCTTCATCAAGGAACCAATTCTGGGAATCTGATACATGTTGTGCACACTGACCTGACAGATCTACTATCGGAAGGACATATTATGAGTGAAAAATACAAGTGTACAAGCTTTACCGTAAACAGATTATTCGTTTGACCGAAATCGAAGTCTATAACTCTGTTTTAGTCAGTTCAAACGGATACGACAGTTGCAAACATTATTAGGCAGTTCAGACATTGAAGCTTCCCATATATTTTCTTTTCGCCTAGAAGTACGCCAAATTACTGAATTGGATCGTAGAACTAAGCAGTAACTTATACTACTGAATTACCATTTATATAGAGAATATGATACTAACTACGGGAGATCCTTATTGCCAATATTCGAAACACATCAAGGAAATCAGCTTGGACAAAGTTTGTTAGATCATATTTAATGGTCACTGAGTAACAATCAATATGATGCTCATCTAGTCCTTAGATCTGATAGAATTCTTTCAAACAGTCTGCAGTGTGTCAATTAGTCTAAGTGACTCGACTACGCATGAAAAATTCCAAGATATTAAGTGGTTGGAGATAATTGGTATTAAACATTGAAACTCATTGATATAATCTTATCATTAAAGTAGTCAAAAGCAACACTTGGCTACTGCTTAAAGTCCAATCAGTATGAACACTGAGATTCAAAAGAAAATCAGTCCCGGGTTAAAAAAATTCACCAGTAAAGTCTTAGGCTGTAAAGGTGAGTAATGCAAGCTGAAAACTTATAAAGAGCATCAATTCCAACAGGATTCCAGATAAAATTACTGACGAGTATCGTCTAGTAAAGATAATAGATTCAGTGTCCACATCATATCACAAATAGACTTGTAAACTAAGCAATAATCTTACGATAAATTTCATTGTCCAACTATACAACGTACCATTCGATATTATAATTAATGTAGTGATCAGTGTGAATATGAATACGCACAAATTGAAAAATTTTGCACTTCAGATATAAATAACGTGAAAACCACTAAAACTGATGTTATTTGAAAACAACCCACATCCAGTTTTACTAACTACTATATCACAACCCGAATCAATACTGCAAACATAAAGTTTAAGTATTGTCATTGTTATACGTCTGTCTCCTGACGACAACTCTTTGTAATACAAGTTATTATACTGCTCTCTTCAAAAATGACCGTCAACATCCTGGTTGGTAAACTACACGTAAAAGCTATAGTCGAGTTTACCAATAGCTTTTCAGAAGACCCTGATTTTTCAGACATTTATAGAAATGCACTAAGTATAATAACAATTAGCTATCCAGTCAAAATTGGACACAATATAATGTTCGAGAAAGTTTAAAGAGACGGTATGCACTGGAACTATATTACGCATCATTATTAATATATGTATTCTTAGTGGATAACCACCAAGTGATTGGATTATTATTTATATGTTGCGTCGATTGTGAGCTTTTCTCCAACCCATTAAATTTAGATTAGACTTCATCTTATAATTAATTTATTCCTAATCAATTATGTACAGCTTCTCCGATTCACGGCCATGCATGTATATGGTTGTGAATTTTGCATTTTATGGTGCGATATGGTCCAGTAGGTTTCTACAAAAAAACACGTATGTTTGAAATAAATATGCAGAATCAGGCTATTAATTTCCCTTGGGGCTCAAGGCATGGGATAGGGAAAAGCTTGCAAACAGTGAACTGATAGCAGCCTAGCTTGTGTTGGTGGTCAACTTTAACTATCTAGGTTAGACGAATAATTGGTGAGGTCTAGGCCGCTAGGTCATGGACGGAATAACGAGAGAGGAATAAAAAAAGTTGCAGTCAGAATTCCGATTCTTGAATTAAGAGCATTGTATGAGTTATTGTCTCAAATCATAACATAATCCTTCTTTTTTTTTCTGGATGTTTTCTGAGAAGCTTTTATTCAACTCCGATTAGCTGAAGCGTTTCCAGTAATTTCTAGATTTCTGGTAATTTTGTCGATGGACAGTTTGTAGTGCCGCGATTCGTTAATCGTTTACTTCGATAACCGTTATAATTCTAATCTTAACGGTGCGTAAAATCAGAAGACAAAGGATAGCAGCAGCTACATTTTATTGTCGAATAACTCAGGTCAGAAAGTTAACAACACCTGAGCGAATATTAACGAGCGAGCGAGCGGCAAGCGAGTGAAGCGAACGAGCGAATAGCAAGTAGTTACATAGGCAATTTATAGTCAGATTTAATAAGGGCACAGCAAGACAAAATGTTATAACAGTCCTTTTACTTCTTACATGTATGTGGGACGTTAATTTATCTTAGACGAAATCTACACTAGATTCCCACCCAGTGTCTATTGTACAGGACTTCAACAGAACTCAGACCAAGAACACAAGATTAGCCTGACTATAACGTCAATATATTTCCACACCAAAATCCGACACAAAGAACAGTCAGTCAATAAGTGTCCATCAACAAGGAACAGTCAATACATAATAAGGATAGGGGAATATATATAACACATATAACACCTGTGACAACAGTAAGGTGTTTTCTTCAAACAACCAGCATAACAGCGATGCTGCCTTCTCACGAGGAGGGGTGGGGTTAGAAAAGGTCGACCCTAAAAATGCACATCTCGCCTTATCCCACGGATATCCGTCTCCGGCAGTAAGGTCACCACAAGTACGGAGCTAACACAAAAATTACCCACAAAAAATTCGTGAGTGACCAACCTCAAACAGTTGTCCTTTGAGCACTGCGATCACGCTCTCAGGTCATTAAGACCACTTCTAACCCGATTTCCTTTTCAGGTACCTCTAGAATAACCATTCAACGGTGTGGGCAGCCGGGAAGTGATAACTGCTCTCATACCTCTAACAGCACTCACATCTTACGCATATATTTGAAAGTCTTTACTTATAATTGCAGTGAAAACTTGCATACTTTAAACGACAAGACAAGATCACTTCTGTATAAGTCATTAAAATTTTATACATATTGTAAATCAAAAACAAAACAGAATAACACTAAACAACTTGAATATGTTTCGTATAAATAGAATGAATGTTTGTAGTATTTCAAGATGACTGATCGTTGAATATGACCTTACCGTATTTTCAAATAACAACGACCTATAAAACGGTGATGATGATGATGGTAGTACTAATAGTAATAATAATAATAATAGCTAGAAAAAAAAGAACTAGTTGGAATAAATACCGAAAATTATTACATAATAATTAAAGAGTATACAATTATAAACAAAATAAATAAGAATTAAACATATAAATGACAAATCATAAATTCTCTTCCTAATGTAATTAAACTAATTCAATGAATATAACCATTGTACAAATATAAACACTGATATTAAATTTATTTACCTTTTCATTATGTAATAAAAAGGAAAATCATAAGACATGTATAATGAATAATTGAATACATTGAAAACAAATTGTAAACGGAAATTTATTCAAGATTGTTTTACTTTATTCATTATTGAAAAATGAGAATTTGGATTATTAAGTAAATCTTGTGGATGACCAGTTTCAATGACTTGTCCATGATCTAATACAACAATCCTATATATATATTGTTTTTTGAAAAAAAAAGAAAGTATTAAAAGAATATTTTGTAAAAGATAGTTCAATAATATAAGATTCATGTCAACTCTGCGTAATAACGAATATAATAAACATTGGTTGTGGTACTGTCCAGGTGCCCAAACCGAAACAGGTGGTTTTCTTAGGGGGTCACACCCCGAGCCTTTGACCTAAAGGTCTGATCCACAAGGCAGTGGAGCATCGTAAGGAGATCCAGTCCTATGGTAGCCGGTGACCAACGATTAATTCATACGCCGTTTGTTCCTTCAAAATACTGGAACCCATGTCCACCATTGGTTTGGAGTCAGGGTTTTTCCGACTCCCCAAGGTGAACTCGCCGTGTCCACCAACCCGATTAGAGTTCCGGATATTTTCTTTTCGTCCTCTCAATTTCGTGAACAACACCCCCGTCACGAGGAGGCAGTGTGTAGGACTTCCCTGTCAGAGTCTACATACGCGTGGCCATGTGAGAGCATTTCGAGAGGGAGAGCGGACTCTCCCAACTCTCGGCCATACCAGGGCATTTGGGGGCCAATACTTAAACAACTTCAAATTTACTAAGTAACGCCGGGGCTATTGCAATTGAGAAAATGTAAAAAATTGTGATCAGCTGAAAATAACTGAATTCATCTTATTCCATTACATTTATTATTCTTACTTCAATTAAATCAAATTGAAATTCAAACAGTACCAAATGAATTCGATTTTTAAAGAGTATCAACGGTTAGCTTATGACAACTACATGTGATGTATAAATTTTTTAAAGGCTTAATGAATATATATTTCTTAAAAGAAATATGTTACATTAAATAATGATTGATTATTTATAATCATTTTTTTATCAAGTACCAATTTGTGTAATCAGTCTACGATCATAAAAAATATCAATAAATAGAAATCAATTTTCACCATGTATTTTAGGAAAGCTTAATATTAAGCGATCCAGGTTCAAGATTTTTCGAATTGAATCAATCTAATTATTGTTGAATATCAATTAGGATAACCACTAAATTGTATTTAATTTGATTTCATGGCATCTATATATTAGACTATATACATATTGATGTTTATTAATAATCAAAATATTAATAGTAGAAGCAGAGTAAAGTGGTAGTGTGTCGCCTACATAGATATATGATGTTAGATGGCGTAAGAGTACGTTGGAAGAAAACTATGTGCGGCCAAATGTGCGAACTCAAATAGAGATGCTACATATATGCATAAAAAGTATGTTTTTTTAACCAATCATAATAGTAAAATACGTATTACACTAAATATTCATTAAGTTACACAGGATTCACTCTTACCTATCTGTATTCATTACAGTAGATAAACGATGAGCAATAATAATTACAGTTGCATCTTTAAATATATCTCCTATTACGGTATTCATAACTAAATTATCTGTAGATGGATCCATTGCAGCTGTAGCTTCGTCAAGAATAAGTAAACGAACACGACCACCGGAAGAGAGAAATACTCGAGCTAGACAAACAAGTTGACGCTGACCAGCCTGTTGAAAAAATCACATCAGAATATAAAGTAAGATTGTTAAGACTTTATTACACACCAAAAAAGATAGAAACTCGGTTGTTGTTCGTGTGACTATTGTAACCAGTGATTGAAGACTCTGTGTGACGTGGCTGAGAATCGATCACAATGGCGTAATTAAACCCACTCTTTGTCTTCCCTTACCTATGAGATTAAAATTACTTCATATCTGTTTTTCTTCCTGAACTACATCTTTATGTACAACCTACCTTTCATACATTACCACCATTAAATTAATTACTGTGAGTTCGATGTTCATCTTGTTGTGCTAATGAGGCTTGGCACCTTGACCGATGTATATATGTGTTTGGTCCAACGTTACAGCTGAGTGACTGACATAATAGTTTTCACAGAGTTAGTGACTATAACTACAGGGAATAAATAAAATGTTTTCTCTCTATAGATATAACTAAACTTAGGTAATAACTAACAATTTGAAATGACTGACGCTTGAATTAAGATATATAATTTATTCGTAATACAAAAAAAGTGGACGTATTCATATAACATACGATTCACCATAAAATAAACAAATTACCCCTGATTATTTCTCTATTCATTTATGCATGGAACTTCAATTCATTAAGGTGTACAAATTACACTAACCGAGAAGCAGTTCAACAACAGTGGATATCTTGATGTGACAAATATTATAAATTATAATCTGATAAATAATTTCATAATAAATATATCCTGTGTAATGTATTTTCGATAGTTTTTGTTATTATTATTATCTTCATCAGGTCATATTAACTCTCTACGTTTAGTTGTTTATACATGAACTAAACATACTTGGAATAAGTGATTGTTTTCAAGATAGAAATTATTTACGTACATGGAATATTGTAAAGCGTAAAATTAAAAGAATATAAATGGAAAGATTACGCTAACAATAATACAAGACGAAGACGAGTTACTTCACTGACGTTCATTGAAACATAAAAGCTCTCTTTCAAAGTTCTGTTGTCTCTTTTTTCTTACATGCATGCGGCTATAATCGTTGGAGTGCTGTTGTATATTAGTTGTTCTATTTACATAAGAAACCTTAAATCTAGTATCATATCACATATATGTACATATATACATATATGCCTCAAGTGATTGTTTGATTACATTAAGTGTATTCTTATGTTCACATTAATTCATATCACCTGAATTACAGTTTATACAAATTATCCAACAACACACTGAAAAATTACTACAAAGAAGGTATTTGTTCATTTTTCCATAATAATAATAGTGAATATATAGAGAACAAGTAATTGGTAGGAGAGAAAATTTTAATCAGTTAAATTCAGCGAACGATTTATTTTCTCTACTTTCAACATAATTCGTTAATATAAATTCATGAGTTACATTAGTAATTCGTTACAGATGAATGTAAAATTAACGGACTGAGAAACTATCTAGCAAAAACAAAACATCATTTTAACTGATGTTTTTTTCTTCAACTTTTAAGTAAATGAGAAAATGTATGCAAAATGTATGGAATTAAGTTAATGGGTGAAAGCTACTGGAAATTGATAACAGCAAAATAATTTTTTGGACTTTAGCAAACAACACACACGAGTCGATCTAGGCTAGACCACCACTGGAGTCCTAGACGGTCGTCTCGTCCTAGTATGGGACTCCCCCGGAAGGGCGCATCTACGATCACGCACACGAGAATCAAACCCAAGAAATGAGGTCTCCGGCGCAAACGTTTAATTTATAGATCACCGAGCCGACAGGCATCCAACGATGTTAATGTCTAGCTTCAATCAATCTATGATCTCACTCGACCATTCATTCACTGTCTGAGGTGATCGCTCGACGCAGATAAGCAAGTACTTGAATTAGAGCACAATCGAAATCCAGAACGAGAGACAGTCCTACTAACTCTGAGGATTCTATATTGTACCAAAAATATAATTATGAATAAAGCCATTACTAATGAAAATAAGCCCCCAAATGCCCTGATAAGGCAGAGAGTGGGGAGAGTCCACTCTCCCTCTCGAAATGCTCTCACATGACCACGCGAATATATAGCCTCTGACAGGGAAGTCCTACTCACTGCCTTCTCGTGGCGGGGATGTTGTTCACAAAAGTGAGAGGACGAAAAGCGAATGTCCGGCGCTTTAACCGGATTGGTGGATACGGAGGGTCCACCTAGGGGAGTTGGAAAACCCTGATTCCAAACCAATGGTGGACATGGGTTCCAGTATCCTGATGGAACAAACGGCGTATGAATCAATCGTTGGTCACCGGCTACCATAGGACTGGATCTCCTTACGATGCTCCACTGCCTTGTGGATCAGACCTTTAGGTCGAAGGCTTCTAGCGTGGCCTCTTAAGAAACCCACCTGCTTCGGATTGGGCACCCGGGCAGTATCACAGCCCACACACAAATAAATGAAATGACTCACTACACTAACTACACTGCTCTCGTTCCTAATAGAAGAAAGACAATTTATATTATTATTATAATTACCATTATTATTATTATTATTATTATTACTATTATTTACTACGTCGCTTTTTCACTCCCTTTATTCGCAAATTGTGTATCCTCCCTCTCCAACTTATGCAGTAGCTCGCCCATGGTGGAAACTCTGTCCTATCTAAACGATCTCCAGTCACTGTCTGGTTGAAAGTGAATGCTTCCACCGATTACGAATACTGAAGCAGTCTTTCTAAAACCGTGTACGCCGTTCAAGCTGGCTTCCTTCAACGTTCGCACACTAATGCAGATCGGACAACAGATGGGGCTGGCTATGTCTTTAGAAAGTCTTAATGTTGATGTTTGTTGTCTATGCGAGACCCATATTCAAGACTCTAGTGAAGTACTACAAATTCGCTCTCCATCTGTCGCTTCGAGAAGCTTGTTTCACGTGCGCTTATCCGAGGACCCTGCGGCATCCTCGTCTGGTCTCAGCTCTAGAGCTGAGGCAGCACTAATCGATTGGATCCCCATTAACAGTCGGTTATGTGCTGTTAGATTAGAAAGTTCCATCAAAGTGAGAAGAAACCGGCGTGAGAAACGATGTCTTTTCGTCATCTCCGCCTATGCCCCGACAGATTGCAGCCCGGATGCAATCAAGGATGAGTTTTACCACCAGTTAACAGTTCTTCTCCAGAAAGCGCGTTCGACAGATATTGTAGTATTAGCCGGAGACTTGAATGCTCAGGTCGGGCGTCTAGGCACAGAAGAGAGTCGTTTAGGTGGCCGATGGGGACTTGTTGGTCGCAGGACAGATAACGATGACCGTTTGCTGTAACTGTGCACAGACCACAACCTGTTTCTGGCTAGCACTAACTTCCGGCACAGTCATCGCCGGTGTGCCACCTGGCGTCCTCCCTCTGCATCCCAAGCCTGGACTCAGATTGATCACATCGCGATCAGCTACCACTGGCGTGGTTGTGTACAAGACTGCCGCTCCTTTTGGAGTACCTATCTGGAGTTTGATCATGCCCTGGTCTGCGCCAATCTCACCTTACTTTTCAGTGGCCGAAGGATTGACCACCACCAACGGATCGATGTTAGTAAACTGGCTGCAACTTCTGTTGCAAGTAAGTATCGAGCGGAGCTAGCTTCAAGACTAGCTACCATCCCACTGAAAAGTATAGATGAGCATTGGTTGCATCTTCACGACGCCATGAAAATGGCGAGTAAAGCCGCCTGCGGTTTCGCGAAACGTCCCGCTTACAAGCACTGGGTTTTTTCTGGCTCCTTACAACTGATCGAAGCCCGTCGGTCTACTCCGGGTGACCGTGAGTTTGACCACAAACGAAGGCTGTTACGTAATGAAATCGGGCAAAGCTTGCGTAAGGACCGGGAAGCCTGGTGGTCGGAGCGTACTAATGAGATCGAAGCAGCAGATGCATCTGGTAACTGCCGGAAGCTCTTCCAACTCATCCGAGTCACTGGCAGCAAGAAGTCTGGTGTGAGTGAAACAATCTACGAGGATGACGGGATGCCAATCACTAACATCTGTCGACGTCTAGGACGATGGGTGGAATTTTTCGAAGGGCAGTTCAACTGGCCTGCTGCTCCGGCAACATCAACCAGCTTGTCCTGCCCCTCATGGCCGGTGACGACTGATCCACCAAACGAGGCGGAAGTCTGCAAGGAACCCCAACTCTTGAAGCGTTACAAATCTCCGGGCCCAGATGACTTACCTCCGGCTCTTTTTAAAGATGGTGGTGACTTTCTGGCTAAGGAACTGACGGTGTTGTTTGCAAAGGTTTGGGAGCAAGAAAGTGTTCCAACATCATGGAATGAGTCAATAGTCGTCCCTATCTTTAAAAAGGGTTCACGTTGTTCCTGTAACAACTATCGGGGGATAAGTCTACTTCCGATTGCGTCCAAACTATTGGCTTCTGTCATTCTTCGTAAGTTGTCTAAAACCCGAGAACGATTGACTCACGAGGAGCAGGCTGGTTTTCGTTCTGGTCGAGGATGCATTGATTACATCTTCACCCTCCGCCAAATGTTAGAACACCGTCATACTTATCGCAGGCCAACAATCATAGTGTTTCTTGATATCAGGGCTGCCTTCGATTCGTTGGAAAGGACTGTTCTCTGGGATTGTCTATTGAAGAAGGGTGTGCCTGAGAAGTTCATTAACATCTTAAAGGCCCTGTATACGAACACCTCAGGCAGAATGAGGGCATACAACCACCTTTCTCCCTTGTTCCATTCGAGCAGTGGGGTTAAGCAGGGTTGCCCGATCTCACCATTCCTCTTCAGCTTTGCCATCGACGACATCCTGGAAACAGCTCTGAAGGATGTAAGTAATAGTGGTGTGGATATGTTGCCTGGAGAAAGACTTCTCGACCTCGAGTATGCGGATGATATTGTCTTACTGTGCGATAATGCCCAAGGCATGCAATCCGCACTTAATCAGTTGGCAATCAGTGTCCGCAGGTACGGCATGTGCTTTTCACCCTCCAAGTGCAAAGTACTCCTACAAGACTGGCAGGATTCTAATCCTGTACTCACCCTGGATGGTGAGCAGATTGAAGTAGTTGAGAAGTTCGTGTATCTAGGTAGCTAATATAAGTGCTGATGGTGGCGTGAGTGATGAGATTGATGCACGTATAATGAAAGCCAGAGCGGCTTATGCCAATCTGGGCCACCTTTGGAGCCTTCGTGATGTTAGTCTGGCTGTAAAAGGTCGGATCTACAGCGCGTCGGTGAGGGCAGTTTTGCTCTATGCTTGTGAAACCTGGCCTCTTCGAGTTGAGGATGTCAGACGACTCTCTGTGTTCGATCATCGTTGTCTCCGACGGATTGATGACATACAGTGGCAACACCATGTTAGTAATGCAGAGGTTCGGCATCGTGTGTTCGGGCACAGAGACGATAATTCAATTGGTGTCACCATCTTGAAACACCGACTTCGGTGGCTTGGACATGTTTTACGAATGTCGTCCCAGAGACTTCCACGTCGTGCACTATTTGCCGACCCTGGGACTGGTTGGAGAAAGCGGAGAGGAGGTCAGTGTATGACATGGTGTCGTGGCATGAAAGAAAGCTGCAAAGGGCTAGCTTCTGTTGGTCATTCACGACTCCCTGGTTGGGGTCCGAGAGATGGTGCAACACAGTAGCTAGAGACTTTATCAGATATGGCTCAGAATAGAAGCCAGTGGCGAACCTGCTGTAACCTTCTTTTACTTTCTTCATAAAGAGTGGTTCTAACTTTCTTAACTGAAAGAGTCTTCTGGTTGTACATTTCAGTCCGCCTTATCTTTTCATCCCTTCTCTTCCTACTTTCATTATTTTGTGCGGCGCATATGTATCTGGTGCCCTTTTGTACCAATATATATGTGTTTAAATAAATAAAATAATAAAATGAAAATAAATATGACTGAAAGAGACTCAGTTTCTGTGCCTACCCTCCTCTGTGGTCAACAGATCAAGCAATACTTTAAGTTATGTCTGAAATCGGTTTCCATTTTGTGAATGGTTTATGATATGTTTAGACTACACAGTCGGGAGATCCAATCCAAATATCAGTTAATTTGAGATGTGGTAAGACTATCATTCAATGTCATGAATGATATTTATTTCACCATTTAGTACATACTAACTCCATCTATTCTGAGTTCATAGTTATGTATAGGACATTGTTGAATGACTGAAAACTAGGATGAGACAACTGTTTGTCACCTCCTCGTTCTTAATTATTCTTTCACATATATTAGTTTACAATGAAAAACGACGACCTTCGAGTGACGTCATAGCGACCTTGAGAGTATCCACCTGATTGATTAGTCCATAAACTATAGTTTCGCCAAACCAACTAGCTGAAACTAAACAATATTCATATAATATACACATATTAATTATAAGTTAAATATTTGCGAGAATATAAATATCATTTACATACAGATAAATTTGCTCCACCTTCACCACATTCATAATCCAAACCGGCATTAGTCGACCGGACCCAATCAGCTAAATGAGCAGATTCTATTGCACGCCATAAATCGATATCAGGCAGTTTACCAAATGGATCTAAGTTAAATCGAAGTGTACCAGCAAAAATTATTGGTTCCTAAAAAATAAAATGAGATAAGCATGAAGAAAAACTACTTATTTCAGGATATTTTGAAAACATTGTTATATCCCGATGAGAATAATGAATGAAAACTGTTGGAATCTATTTCTGGACTGATACTATACATATATTTTTATTGTATAATTGTTAAGTAACTAAGCTATTCATATTCATGTTCCAATTATCACAAGCTTTATTTTGACCTATAAACTATTATTATACGATTTACCATTCTTGGGTTATACCCAGTCTATCAATTACTATCTCCTACATTTACAGTCACTTTTGGCTAAATCTTGTACAAATGTTATTTTCTATTTTAGGGTGCAATGTGGTTTGTTTGGTTTGTATATAAACCCAGTATGTTTGAAATATATGATTCATATCGAAGAAGCTGAGATTGGTGTTCCAAACCCAACAGGCAGGGTTAGGCAATAAGAAGTACCGATAAAGACTCTAGGCTGCTCATTGGTCCAATGAGTGAGTCAATGTTATCTAATTGGTGGTATCATTACGTTATAGATTAATAGGATACAAGGGCACAAGTTATAAAAAACATAACTTTGGTACTTTGGCACATTCAGTTGTAATATTAATGAATCAGCACAGAGGAATATATCAGTTTCATTTAGAATGTAACCATTACACTAGGAAATAAATGGAAACTACTGACCCTTTAAAGTGTATCACGTTGACCGTTACATTTGATAGTGTAGCTTAGAAATCAAGTGAAGAGACAGCTAGATATAGAATAGAAGACAATAAATACTCAAACAAGCACCAAGTATACAAATTTTAATTCATACCTGTGGAAGAATACTAAATCGAGATCGAAGTTCATGAAGGCCAATTCGTGATAAATCAACTCCATCAACAACAATTGGACCACGTTTAGTTGATGTTCTATGTATATCTAATCTGTCTTCTTCTAATATCGTAGGCTCAATTAAACGAAAGATACTAGATGCTAAAGATGATTTGCCTGCACCAGTACGACCAACGATTCCTATACGGCGTTCTTGTGCATTACCACTTAATTTAAGATCAATAGATTTCAATGCTGTAACTAATCGTCCAGAATTCGATGAAGTTTTTTGACTAACTGATAAGTCGTGATTATTAGTTACTTTGTTCTTTGTAGGCAGATGGTATTGGACAGTAGCTTTGTTGAATATAATTTCACAACAAGGTCTCGGCCAATCAATTGGAGGAGGACTATCCACTCCATGATCCCAGTCAGCTTCTTGTTCAACCTGGAAAAAATAATCGAATGGGTAGTATTATGTTCAAAAATAGATGGAATGGCAACAAATAGTATACCATGAAAATTCAGATTGTATAAATGTTTCATAATTTGATGTGTATGATTCTGTAGGACTCTATCGATCAAGACAGATTCCTTTACAGATTTTATTATAATTAACTAGTATAACTTACGCCTGTTACCCCTCGTGAAGGAGCATAGGCCGCACATCAGCATTCTCCATCCAATTCTATCAAAAGCAATCCCTTTCAGTTCTTTCCAGTTAACATTCATCCTTTTCATATCTGATTCTATGTCCCGGCGTAATGTGTTCTATGGCCTTCCTCTTTTCCACTTCCCTTCACCATTCCAAGTTAGGGATTGCCTCGTGATGCTGTTTGGTGATTTCCTCAATGTACGTCTGATCCACTTCTAACGTCTTTTTCTAATTTCTTTTTCAACTGTAATCTCGTTTGTCCTCTCCCACAGAAGGCTGTTGCTGATGGTATCCGGACAGTGAATGTTGAGTATTATGCGCAGACAACTGTTTATAAATACTTCTACCTTCTTGACGATGGATTTAGTAGATCTCCACATTTCAGCTCCATACAGTAGGACTGTTTTGACGTTCATAGTGAAGATTTTCACTTTGAAGTTAGTTGACAGTTGTGTTGAGTTCTATATGTTCTTCAATTGTATGAATGCGGTTCTTGCTTTGCCAATCCTCGCCTTTACACCTGCATCAGATCCTCCTTGTTCTTAGGTACGTGAATATTTCCGCATCTTCCAGAGTTTCTCCATCATGTATAAAACTAACTCGCTAAATAAACGTTTACTAGTATGAAGTTAAATAATAAAGAATACAACTTTATATTATGAAAATATCTACAATTTCTTATTCATGGCTCCACTTCATTCTTGTGCGAATTTTCATAAACAAGTTGACTAACTGTTAGTTCAACATCATATTCATGTTAAAATGTAGAACAATTTATATAGGTTTTAGTGCACATTTTCTAAATTACAATTTCGTTTTACCATTCTATGTAATATGAACATTCAAGTAAGTGTTAGATATTAGTAAGGAGCAAATATTTTCAATTCAATAAACTTAGTTATATTTATGTTAGGCGACACAATTAAGTCTGTTAATGTTATAAACTGTATGTGTATGAAAGATACACTTCCGAAGTTCATTCTTGTATTTGACTAATTTTATTCGATCATTCTCTAACGTGAATTCAGTGGATAATAATGTATGAAGGTAAGCGGAATCTATAGTTCGTTAACATTACTACTTAATTGAATCGGAATCAGATCAAAGAGCCACAAAAAGTAAAACAAGAATATTCGATGAAAATTATTGAAACCAATAGAAAAAGTAACTGTTGTACACTCCCTCCTTGATTAAAACTAACTACATAACATGGAAATTACATACCGTCCGATATTTAACAAGGTTGAGTGAATTTTCACGTATCACTGAAATCATGAACCGATCTAAGCTAGACCACCATTACAAACCTGGAAGCACCGGATGACCGTTTCATCCTAGCATGGGACTCTTCAAAAGTGCACATCCGCCATCCAGCACACGAAAATCGAACCCAAGAACTTCGAACTTGCACGTGAACGCTTAACCTCTAGACCACTGAGCCGGCATCCAACGATGTCTAGATTTAACCAATCGGTTCATGATTTCAATGAAATCCAACAATCACTACAACCCAAACTGAGAATGTTAACGTAGTTTACTACTGATTTAAACACATTGAAAGTGATTACTTGAACTGATAGTTTCTGTCCGTAAAAAATAACCGACACAAACATATATTTCAAATAACTTTCACATTCATTAAGATAAATATAATTCTCAGTGAAAATGTAAGTTTTGAAATAATTTTTATTGTTAATTGATAAGTAATTAAAAAAGAGAAAATCCCATTTACATAAAAAAAAATGTAACTACTTACTCGGATGTATTCACAAATTCTTTCCAATGAAACAGAACTTGTCTCCAATTGAGATAACTGTTTAATAACCCATGTCAATGAATCAAATACTTGTAAAGCATAAACTATGATTAAGCCAGCAATACCAGGTGATATTTTTGATCGAAAAGCAACCAAAATTATGGCACATACAAATACCATAAAGCTACAAGATAACTGGAATTTTTGAAGAAAAAAAAAGTATGAACAAAAACACAAATATTTTGATATAAATAACAACTAAAACTCAAAATAAAAATGGAGTCATAAAAGGAATGCAAACAAGATATCTGGATGGAAATCGCTAATGATTTACACAAAAGGCTGGGCTGTAGATAAGTTCCGATAACTTAATGAATAATTAAAACTCACTGATATTAGCTAATATATTAGGAAGTTATGAAACAAACTTGTGGTTTTAACTGAAACAAACGATCATTTGATTCTTTCTGATGTGTAATACTAGACTGTGTCCATTTTATTATAATATTAGATTACTTCAATGGTATAAATGTCATTTGAGAAGTGTCAATAGTTGAGGTTATTAGTGTCTATGTATGCGACACTGATATTAGTTTGCATACGAGAATTCGGTAGACGGAACTTCATTTTTTTAATTAATTTTTGTGTTGGTTGTTTTAGTCTTGCCATTGATGCTTAAGACTGTAATTGATCAGTCTCATATTGGCATATGAGTTAACATTTAACTTTAGGATGCAGGTACATTCAGCTGACGAGTCCCAATCAGAACGAAACACGAGTCCTGGATTCCACTGCTAGCCACCATTCATCTCCGCTTAGAACTTCGTTGCTATTTTTTCCTTGTTAAAAAAAGGCCTCGATTAAAATCACATTGATTGTAGTAAGTATTGTTAGTGTTAGTATTATTATTATTATTATTATTATTATTATCATTATCATTATTATTAACACTAATAATAATAATAATAATAATAATAATAATAATAATAATAATAATAATAAGTAACATTGATAGCTTGTATGTGAAATAAATCCCACAAAATTCCGATAATCATATATCAAACATGAAAATATTAGCCATATACAAAAACATTCTTCATTTATTTTCTTATGCAAAGAATACTAGCTGATGACTGATTTTTAAAAATGCAATGAAATCGAGTAGCGGTAGTTCCTGTCTGAAATGTACATGACATAAATAAGTGCTTTTAGAAACTATTCTAATTAATGAAGGCAGATTAACATCTCAAATTATAGGGTAGAAATAATTACTGTCATCGGGTGACTTTAGCTGGCATATCATTGGAAAACAGGAAGCATTTTAAAAGTTTTTATTAGTGGCCAGTGACTACCTGGACACAGTAAATAAGTGGATAACGCGTTGGCATTTGAAGATACGGGTACTGGTCTCAAGTCAGGGAGTAAACATCAACTGCAGGATGCAGGTACATTCAGATGACAAGTCCGAAATAGGACGAAACGTGCACCCTGGATTCCATTGTTAGCCACTATCTATCTCTGCTCAAAATGCATCTAATGAAAATATCGAGGTAACCTGCACATGCCAAAAGGGACTAATCAATTGTAGTCCCAAACATCAGTGAGAAGATAAAAAAAACAGATATATATATATATATATATATATATGTTTAGTCGTAGTTAAGAAATCTTCAGTATCAAGAATAAACGATCGTACTAAAAATGAGCCCACAAACTTCAGACCTCAAGGCAAGAGAGTTACCTTTAAACCATTGATATAGTAAACTACATTTTCAACATGAGTCGGTCTACCAAGTAGAGTGACAACCACTCAATTTTGTCGATGACACCTGTTTCACCAACAACATATTTTGCACTGCCTCGTCATCCAAGGTAAGTCTGTGACGATAAGTATCTTCAATTTATCAATCTGTACACTTTACATATCGTTTAATAGGAAAAAAACATGTTTAGATTTTGAACACAAACTCAGCTTAAAGTACAAATACTAGAATATTTACGACAATGATGATAAAAAGGAAAAAGAAACTAACATTTAGATGAACATCTAGCCACCGGTTAGCAACAAAGCGTACATATTCGAAAACCGCATTAGCATCAATCAATTTGTCAGATTTAGCAATAAACTGTTTATCACGTTTGAATGCTCGAACAACAGTGACACCTAAAGATGAAGCTGACGTTTCACTATAATTGGTTAACAGTGGTGAACGAGTATTTGCATCCAATCGACGTGTTTGTCTAACAGAAGGCATATAAAATATTAACACAGTTATGCAGAATATAAATACAGGAATAATCACTGCCAATCCTATTCCAAATGGACGTAGAGTAACAGTAACAATCACTAGTGAAATAAGAACATCCCCAGTAGTCCCAATGGTATCACTAAAAGAGTTCGGTATGGTATGATCTAAATTGTCAACATCATTACTGAATCGATTCAATATACGACCTAATGGTGTATGATCAAAAAAACTAGCTGGAGCATGAAGAATTTTCGATAAGAGCTGTTGATGTAATAGCTACAAAACGGATGAAAAAGAAAGTTATTTATCAACATTTTAATCTTAAGCATCAAGTGAAAATTATGACGAGAAAAAGAATGTATTCAAAAAATGAATTGTATGCAATATCAACGTATATATTTCTTTAGTTCCACATTCATTCAAGACAAAAAAATTCTAGTAAGCTTTTGTGTAAGTAATACTTGTTTCGATGTTATGAAAAAGAATCAGATTTCATCCAAGATATGTTCAGTGAAACATATCAAGCTGATAGCTGGTTATAGACATAGGGGAAAGATTAAAGTTGAACGTATGGTATCACATTCATCTGGAGATTCTAAATTATTTAATATTTTGGATTTTAAGGTAGGAATACATCTCCAGGTGAAGTTGAAATAGAGATCTTTGGATATTCTGTATATAATCCATGTTTCTTTTAAAAAGATAGTAACCATGAAACTTTCGGTCTTTCAATTCACTTATTTAATCTTAGAATATTTCTATAACCATGCTGTTGATTACCAATTTAGTAACGTTTCATCTTGGTTACGTACGCTACTATGGTTGAATACTTACTTACTTTGCTTACGCCTGTTACCCCTTGTGGAAGAGTATAGGCCGTCCATCAGCACTCTCCATTCAACCCTGTTCTGGGACTACAGTTAGATATTTTAAACATAATTCTCTGTCATCCGAAGTAATAATATATAGAACAATTAAAAACTACGAGACAGTGAATATACGATCCGTTCAATATTTGAAACTGCCCAGTAATGCATAAAAATGAGTTCAAGCGAGGAGAAACCTCATTTATTTATTTAAACACATAAATATTGCTCAGTGTGGTCCGTCATTTTGACGTTAATTGGATCTCACTCATCACTCTTAGTGGCCCGTGTATCTGACTCCAGTCCGATCGTATGAATGATTTCTACTAAATTATACATACCGCCAACCCTAGTATATAATCATAAACTTAAATCGCGTTAGTGAGTAACGGAATTAAATATGTCAAATACGAGAATGAATTTCGAATATGTATATTTCATACAATTGTTGATCGAAACAATCAGGGAAATGAAGTAAAGGAAGCGAAATGAAATGACGCGTAGTGGAGAAGATGAGTGAGACAACTCACTTTAATTAAGCGCGACTTAATATCTATAGTCAGACAAAAACAAGTTACAGACATGTGGTGAATAGGGCAAGCAATACACACATAAAGACAGTCAGAGTTGGTAAACAAATAAGTGACAAGGTCAAAATGTAGCTTGCGGAGAACGAATAAATTGTTCTCTCCAGAAGCTAGAATAATCTATGTGGGCTTGACATAGTACCAGACAATACAACTAGTACAAGAATCAACCAAATATAAATGCTCCATACTTCGTCATCCGATTTGTGTGAGCTTCTCACCTAGAGATCTAATCCACAAGACAGTGGAGCAACGTTGGGAGATGTAGTCCCGCGGTAGACGGTGAGCAACAATAGCTTCATTTGTCATTTGTTCCCTCATGATCCTGGAGTGTATGTGCACCATTAGTTTGGAATCAGGGTTTTCCAACTTCCTAAGGTGGAACCTCCATATCCACCACCACGATCAAAGCGCCGAACATTAGCTTTAAGTTCTGTCAATATAGTTAACAACAACCCCCACCGCGAGAAGGCAGTGGGCAGGACTTCCCTGGCAGTGGCTGTGTATGTGTGGCCACGTGAGAGCATTTCGAGAGGGGGAGAGGACTGTCCCCACCCTTGTCATTACCAGGGCATTTGAGGGCCTTACGATCGCAGCTACTGTTTTGAACTAGTAACGTTCAAATCGTTATGCTGACTGGAATAGATATTCCTTGAGGTCTAAACATGCCAAGTAAACAGCCAGGATAGAGATAAGACTAAAAGAAACAAATATAAGATCTGTAAACGAAGACGTGATGTCAAATGTATCAAAATGTTTTCCACAGATAATTAGCACCCTTCACAACGAAAGAATGGGTTAAAACAGGTCGGTTCCTTAAATAACACACATTACCTTGTCCCATAGTTTCCCAACCTTGGTGATAAGGTCTGAAGTGTGAGGAGCTAACAAAACAAAAAATTCCGTATCTGGAAAGTTGCGTGGCGCAAAAGTCACAATTATGCAATTGCATCCAGTTTCTAATTTCGTTCCTAACGTTTCAGTTTCAACATTTATTTCTTTTTTTTAAACTCCATCTTTCGAATTTAAATTTCCACCGAATTTAAAAGCAATACCTTTCCTTCATTTCTAGTTGCGATGCCTGGTTTGGTACAGCCAATAATTAACAATTGGAATTAAATGTGAAAACTTTCAGGAACATTGTAATCATTATACTACTTCTTAATCACTGAATCAAAACCTATAAGGGTCAAACTTTTAAAAACTACCTCAAGCATAACATGAGATGAGAATTCATTGAATAAATTTGTGCTAAAACTTCCTAACAACGGCGCGAAAGAGAAATCGGTAGACCGATAATTATAATAACAGTTATTACCATCACTATATATATAGGGAGAGAAAGAGAATACTTACATTTGAAGCTCTCAGATTAGAATACGCATTAAGTAGCGCAAATAATAAGATTAACACTGTCTGACCTAAACCAGCCCATGCATAACCTATAATATAATATAATATTCTATCTTTAATCTGTTCTATTAATATCTGACGAGCAGTTTCATTACTAATTATAGTAGTATTTTGAAAAGCTTGTTCAGCCTCAATTAATTGTTGATCATCTGCAAACCATTGTAACCAGTAACTGCAAAATGCCTGCCGAAAATAAAAACCGCGAAAAAAAAGAATTAGCAATGAGAAACTGAGCATAAATATATTTGGTATAGTTTCTGTAATTTATTGACTGAGTTGAATCCAATGGATTGCAGTCTTAGTGAAGCACAATTGAAATAATCAGTTCTATCATTAATTTATATCAACTTTAGTCGTTTTTCAAGAAAATCTTATTAGAAATCAATCGTATGACAAATACGATAGTCACTAGCTTTGATGGATTATAATTATTCAACTAGCCAGTGATATATAATACAGAACCGGGGATATGTATACGCTCGGTTCAAATTGGGATAATCTCTTAGAGAACAAAGAAATGAAATTGTCAGGGTGAGAAATTCCAGTATATTAGAGCTAGAAACAGTCTTAGTTGTAGCAGGAAAGATAAGGTATTGAGGATGTAGTTCAAAAGAATATGGATTGGTGGAATAAAAATTGATAAGGTAATTTAGAAATTCAGAATTTAAGGGAAGACAAAAAGATAATGCACCTGTACCATTGCAGACGAATCTCAGCCATGTTATCCAAAGTTACTAACCCTTGATTACGATAAGTACTCGGACCCCATCCAGATAGTCAGCATCTATCAACAGTAACAGTGTGTTTATGGACTGATGCCATGCCTTAATTTGGTCGGGATATATATTCCTTAGTTGTGCAAGAAAACAGATATAAAGTTCATAGTGTTTGAAATTCATCCTTTGATCAATTTTTATATGGAGATTATTCATCAAAATAAACTTATTCACACAATCTTAGAAAGCCCTTGCCTTTTTGTGACAATGGTAATTTCATTGTTATTTCGTTGTTCTACAGTAACGAAAAGATGACATTTACGACAAGTGTGGCTATTTTGATACTATTTTGACTGATTTTCACATTTCAATATGATGTCTGAAATTTGAAGGAAGGAAATCAGATAAAATCCTGAACTTGGGTTTTGTACTATAAAATAGTTATCGGTAGTGTTTATTTGTAATATTGACAGGACTGATAAAGCGAATCCATGTGACTCAACGTCACAGTCACAGACGTGATTACTTATCTATTGAAACCACTTTATTTGCAATATTATAACAAAAAGTAAACATAAGAAGTATAAGAGGTTCATAAATATTATTCGATACGTAGTTAAAATCATGTATTGACATTAAATGAAAAACCATATAAAGATAGGGGGCACTTAACCGCTCTTTCGTCCACGTATGTGACTCGTCGATAGTGTGTGACTTTTATAGAAATCAAACTCAGAACCTTACAGTGAGAGATTAACATCTAAACCCTGAGGTAGGCATTCGATGGTTTACATTTCTAAAAACAGTCAATTCGCGATCTGGAGAGAACATTATCCATTTTGATCAATTATAGCTACCTCGCCCCAAACATCGTTGGACTCCAACGGTTACGGTATTTCACCAAACCTCCTGGAGTTTCTACCCGATACTAGCAACTAGTGTGGACATGATTATTAGTAGTGTAGAAGGACGACGTAGTTATTCAATGCTTACTAGCTTTCAATATTTGTGTAGTTTACGAGTTCATGATGTAAACTACAGAATGACCAACGGCTTGTAAAATAATGAGTGTTCAGGACAACAAAATTTGAAACTCACCTGTACACCTAAGAATCCCGCATAAGACAGAACACTGATAAACGTAACAGATACACTTCGAGCACGGAAATACTCCCAGTAGGTTGACCACGACACATGACCATGCATAATTTCTTCATCAGTCATGAATTTGCCACATTCAACGTCATCATTTTCAAGTTTATCATTATCGGATGTACTAGCATTTAAATCTGTAGTACTTATGCTAGTTGCAGAACGACGATGAGTCACCTCCTGTTCAGATCTAAAATCAATCAAATCATTTAGTGCTCCATCAGTAGCCATAACCTGAATAAACCCCGGAGAGAAATATGATACAAAGAAATGTGAAACAGAAAACCAAAGGAAGAATCACAGTAACACTTAAACTGTTTAAATCGATAATTATATTACTAAAAAGCACAGTTATCGTATGTTTCTACTTCCTAGTTCAAACACAAATAAATTTATGTATTCGAAACGAAAACATCCTCGTCCAAGTTTGTGAACTCGACTGACAGGCATACAGTTAACCGAAGTGAAATAGATAGGGTGAATCCAAACATCATAGCGGTAAGTATTAAAGACAAGTTGACAAAAGATGTAATGTGTTAGAACTACTGTATAAGAATGAACAAGCATAGACAGTTAGGAGAGTAGGGAACATCTGTAACTGAAAATTTCATTACCTCATTGCATAAGGACGTTGGCGAGAAGATGGAAATAAGTGAAGTTTATAAAAATTATTTGAATGTTATTGGTGATAGAGTTGTCTGGAAAGACAATTAAATCTTTACGATCAAAGCATCCAACTGAAACGACGAAACACCTTGATAATCATCAGTTGTAAATCATAATAAACAACACTAAAGAAACTATAGTCAACCTTGTATTTCCTTCAGCTTTAATGATAATTTTAAGTATGAATCTAAAGAGCAGTTAATAAATGACTGAATGAGATATCACTCTGTGGTGCTGTTGTGACAGCTTGGACAGATAAGCAAATCGCCCTGGTCTATGTTGCTTACGACTGACTGAAGTTAAGTTACAGTCCAAATAATAGTTGTATACGAATATGATTAGCAGACTTTAATTGTGTTTACAAACAAAAATAAATGAGCAATCTTTAAACAAAACTTACATCATCATTATTGTCATGCTTTGAAGTAGTACTGGAAGCATTAATATCAGCAAAACTAATGAGTTTTGGAAAGGGAACGGGTGACTCTAAGGATAATTTTTTTGTTGCAGTCATTGGTGGACTTCGAGACAACATTTCTATAGGATGAGGTGAACTAGGCGGCTAAATTAAATGAGTCAATCAAGAGATAAATCATATGATTAATAACATGGAATATTATCCAATCAGCTTGTTAAAGAATTCATAAAATATATAAACGGTTGTAATTTTTGCGATCAATCTAGAAGTGAGCTAGTAAAAAAGTAATTGATTTATAAAATGAAACTTCAATGAAGTTTGATCATTTGGAGAAAAAAAGTGTCTGAATAAGAATAATATATGTTATTCTATTCGTTCAGAGGGCAGTTAAACAGACTGAATTTACGAGTCGATCTAAGTTAGACCACCATTAGAAATCTGGAAGTATTGGACAGTCGTTTCATTATAGTATGGGACTCTTCGGCAGTGTGCATCCACAAGTCCACAAGTGGGACTCGAACTCAGGACCCCCAGTCTCGCGCGCGTACGCTCAACATCTAGACCACTGATTAGTTTTACTCAAGGTTGGATCACGATTGGATAATAAGAGACTGAAACAGTTTTCTTTTAGGGTTTGTGGAGAACCAACGAAATACTATAGATTCATCGTATGCTGAAAATACTTGCTTCTTAGTTTGCTTAAATTAATATGAATTAAACCAAATTGTAATTTAACGAAAAACAAAATAATCTATCATAAAAGTCAAGTGGATTAGTGAATAGTTGTTCATAAAAAAACTACTTACTAAATAATAACAGATTAATTGGTATAAATCAGTAAAAACATCAAAGTTCAATTTTGCGTACATTCATAAAAAACAGAAGGAATATGAAGAAAATATAAATGAATGTGCACTGCCACTGATAAGCAATTCGAAACGAGGATAAAACATGTATTCGACAAAACTGGTTTTTCAATGATCCATTAGTTAATGATAATATCCCTCATGAAATACTAACTTTAAATGAAAATGGAGTTAATTAATTTGAAATTTGCTTACAATTCAAGGTTTCATAACAACTAACAGGGTACCAGAGTGAATTATTGATGCAATAAACGTTGTAGACGACATCAATGAACAGAGAATGTTGCAATAAAAAAGACTGAAAGCCATAGGTAAATCCATTCATAATGAAAGTTTATCTAACAAACGGACTAATGTTAAGCGAGACTGGTAGGTCCACCTTGTGATAATGATCATATGCTCACTAGTGACTGGCTCCTTGAGGTAAATCCTGGAGTTCTAGTGAGAAGTCGTGGCCAGTGGAGCTAATCCATCTCAGGTAGAGACAGGTATCTACCTCAGTACATTGGAAGTTGGTCGCGCAATTTCGTGGATTGATTGAGGTTAGACATTAACACCGTTGGAAGCCAGCTCGGTGGTCTACCGGTTAAGAGCTCTAACTCGAGACTGGTAGGTCCTGGGTTCGAATCTCGCGAGTGCGAGGTCGTGGATGCGCACTGCTGAGGAGTCCCATAATAGGACGAAACGGCCGTCCAGTGCTTCCAGGTTTTCCACGGTGGTCTAGCTTCAATTGACTCATGATCTTAACTATAAAAAAGTTTCTTTTTATATTTTCGTGAAGCTTTTATTAAATATGTTAAAATATTATAGATGATATAACCAAAAAAAAATGAATTTACACACATGCATACATCCAAAACTTTATTATTAATCAACTTACAACAACCACACTAGATGACCGATTAAACCGAGTTGTAAATGAAATCTTTCTATGGTTACCTTCATTCACTTTAACAAAATACAAAAACACAGAAATGAAGGTAATAGCATGGAATGTATGAAAGAAATAGAACAAACAGACAAATAGGATTTTCAAGGAGAAAAACTCATGAAACTTGAAATGGAACTTTGGCTATAATCCAAATTATAAATTATTTCAGAAAGGATTTTTTGTGGAGATTTAGTATTTGCATAGTTGAAAGCATAAGTCAATTGAAGCTAGACGACCAAGGAAAACCTGAAAGTACAATAGGACGAAACGGCCGTCCAGTGCTTCCAGGTTTTCCTTGGTGGTCTAGCTACAATTGTCTCATGCTTTCAACTATGCAAATATCGATTATTTAGTGAAACATAACATAGCAGTAATTCCTGGTACAATAAACTAGAATAAAGTATAACCGCATAACCTTATAACATAACCAAAATAGAGTATAAATGGGAAGAGTAAAAGACTAAAAGTTTAGCAGAACGAGATATTTCTATCAATCCATCATCTTTGCTGAATTTAAGACTGATCAATGTAGGATTTGCTATCAGAAATTTCTATCAACTCTCCTTTTCTCTACATAATACCACACTTTCCAGATAACGAATTTTAGTCAAGAATAATATCGAAAAAGTAAAATCCTTTGTTATAATTACACCTAAGATAAGCAAATATGATTATTGAAGAAATACTTGAAAGAGGGTATCATTCATTAAACACGTATTCTAAAAAGAATGCCACTATTCAAACAAATAAGTATCTGTGTCATCAATTGGAAAGTGATTTATTGATCGATCATAATGTTCAAACGCCATCACGTTATCCACTCGGCCACTGAGTCCTGATAGCCACTTGCTTGTGCAATTGAGTGAAGTTTAAATTCACTTAGTATTGTATGTTTGAATCTTCTCATTGACATTTTTGCTTACCATGCTTGTGAATTGAGGCTATATCGAGGCAATACTCACGGTATGCAAAAATGTCAATCAGAGACTGACCAGTTGCAGTCCTAAAAATATCAATGGGAAGATTCAGAAATACAATACTAAGTGAATTTTTTTATGTCTATGATTAATTGCTACTCTCAATGACCCCATAACGAATACAAATTACATACAGCAACTAACAGGAAGACGAGGAATTCAACACCAATTGTTTTTTTTTTAAATTATTGTTCAACTATAAATTAATTAATTGGACTAAAGAATATAAAAAGTAAATATGAATAAAATAGAGTTACATATTATCACTTACTTGTTTCATCATTTATCTTATTTTTCTCGATAGACTCCAGATAATTAGCAAAATGACCAGAGTTATTATTTACAACCTCCTAACAGAAAAATGGTAAGAAGAACACAGAAAATGTTTTTTAAAGTGATGTCCAGTGAAGCAAATATTGTTTCGGAGTTAATGGGATTAAAATATATGACTCAATAAAAAAAAATAATCGGTAGTTTAAACATCTGGACTACAAATAAAGATAATGTGAGTATTGAAAATAAAAAAGGTAAATATTTAATCGTTGAAAGCGTGAGTCAATTGAAGCTAGACCACGATGGAAAATCTGGAAGCACTGGACGGCAGTTTCGTCCTATTGTGGGACTCCGCAGCAGTGCGCATTCACGGCCTCGCCTCGCGAGATTCGAACCCAGGACCTACCAGTCTCGTGCCAGAGCACTTAACTATGAAAATACTAAATCTCCACAAAACCCCTACTAAAAATATTTGATCATCTAAAGCATTCATTCACAGATAAATATATTAACATGGATGCAAAGAAGACTTCACTCGAACGAATGCTCACGGACACGAATTGTCACATTTCTATCTCTTGCCATTCAAATTTGAAAACATAAAGCTGGAGAAGAGAACGTAAAACTACAGAGAAGCGGTATGCTATATGTAATATATAGCTATGAAAATTGTTATATCCTAGTGAAGACATAAGTACGGGTAACTTTCGGGATGTATTAATGGACTATTATTCTAGATATTATTCTTATTGTATGACTATTCAGTGATTAGATTGTATTTATCTATATTCATTTTATCATAAGCTTCATTTTGACCTATAAATTATTATTATACGAATTACTGTTCCTAAATTAGACTCAGTTTATCGATGAATATCTCCCACATTCACAGCCACATTTCGGCTTGATCTTGTACAAATATTATTTTCTATTTTATGGTGTGATGTGGTCTGTTTGGCTGTTATATAAACCAAGTATGCTTGAAATAAATTATTCGCATAGTGAAGCTTTTATTGATGTTCTGGATTCAACTGAAAGGGCTAGGCGGATAAGGACCAATAAGGACGCTAGGTTGCTCATAACGGTCGAGTGTCATTGGTTTGGCAGTGCTAAGATTGGATAAGTCGTATTTAGGTTGGTGAATAAATCACGTGATAAAAGCCAGGCATAAAGTCACAACAAAAATAATGAAACATTTAAAATGTTCTTAATGGGACAAAAATAGTAATATAAGACAATTCAAATAAACAGTTCTATGAACTTAATAAATAAAACACAACCATACTGATCAAACTATTGTCGATAATAGCCAATTGAAATCTCCGCATTCTGAGTAATTCAAAAGGGTAAAAATAACAAAATAAGATAATCCTCCGATAGAAAAACAATGGAACCCACTTAAGATTGCATCTTGATTACTGAATCACTTACAGGAAGCGCTAGAATTTGAGGTAAAATTAGGAGATCCGACATAGCATCACTCAGAAAGCCATTCAGACAATTGATGTTTTTCAGTGTGAACACCAAGATACATAATTCAATACCACATAACAAATATTATAACAAATTACATGAGAAAAACAATATTAATCAATCTATAACAATTTAAATTCACTCTTACATTATACGTTCCAGATTGAGTGATTTCACCATTAGTGTTAAGAACAATAATCCAATCAGCAAGGGATAGCCAATGAAATGAATTAGTTGTCATGATTCTAGTTTTATCTTTTAAAAGACCATTTGGACCTAAAACGTTATCGAATAAATATTTCCCAACATGTGTATCGACTGCTGATAATGGATCATCTAGCAGATATATATCTGAACGCTGTTATTGAAATAAGAGAAGTAAATAACCAAAATACATATAGCCAAAAATATATTTCGACATCAATAGATTTAAACAATTAAACATGAAAATACTAATCTATGGAAATGATTTAAATACTGAATGGAAAATTTTGAAGAACAATTCAACTTGTGCATTGACCTAGCAATAATGTCTAAATGTAGCTATGTTCCATAGGAGGCAGGCGATAAATACCACAGAATAAATTTATTTGAAATTACACCTAAGACAATAACTTCTATCACACAGTATGCTTTGCAAAAATTGTGAACAATCGTACTCCAAAAAAGCAGGGGGAATGAAAGCATTGATTACGTCTTTACTCTTCACTAAGTGTTTCAAAATAATTACGCTTATTGTAGGCCGACAATCGTTGTCTTTTGGCATTAATGTTAGACTTCGATACGTCGGGCAGAATGAATCTCTCGAATTTCATTTTAAAGAAAAGTATCTGAAGAATTACAACGGGTCTTTAAAACATACAAAACTCAAGCCTTCTACAAAACAACCAACACTCTACGAAACGTTTTATTTAAAATTAAAAATCCCGTTTATATTCATACAAAATTGTGTCTACAGACTAGATTATGTCGATTGTAATACGTCCTACATAGGAGAAGCTTTCCGTGAGATCTGGTGCCAAGGAACACGTAAGTTACGCAGAAAAAATTGAAAAGACTACAAATTAAGTCAGAAATACCAGTACATCTTATATTCAATTATCACAAAACTGATATTACATAAAGAAGCTGCATGTTTTGGCAGCCTGTAGCTCCTCTGGGGGTTACTGCCGGTCCCAAGCCCACACAAAGGAGGAGGGTTGGGCATGGGGTTAGCGACCCCATCCCGTAGAAAATCAACTCGCTAAAAAAACGCTAACCAGAAAAAATCATTCAAACCATTCAAACTCTGCCCTGGGAGTAGAAGGAATAATTATGACGTCTCATGATGACAGCCGAGTTCCTTCGGAAGTCATGAGGCCGATGCACCTTCTTACAACCAGAGCGACAATTTTTATAGGTACATGGAATGTCCGAACAATGTGGGAGACCGGAAGAGTCTTCCAAATTGCTGCAGAAATGAGAAAATACAACCTGGAGGTGCTTGGAATAAGCGAAACACATTGGACGCAGGTTGGACAACAACGACTGTCTTCAGGAGAACTTCTGTTATACTCCGGTCATGAAGAAGAAAATGCCCCACATACACAACGAGTTGCATTGATGCTGTCCAGAAAAGCACAAAATGCACTTATTGGATGGGAATCTCATGGACCAAGGATCATCAAAGCCTCCTTCAAAACAAAGAGAGAGGGCATTACAATGAACGTCATCCAATGCTATGCGCCTACCAATGACTACGATGAAGACGCTAAAGACCAATTCTACGATAGGCTGCAGTCGATCTTCGAGAAGTGCCCAACCAAGGACCTGACAATTCTGATGGGAGATCTCAATGCTAAGGTTGGAATGGACAACACTGGATACGAAGACGTCATGGGACAACATGGACTGGGAGGAAGGAACGAAAATGGTGAGAGATTTGCAAACCTATGTGCCTTCAATAAACTGGTCATAGGTGGCACCATATTCCCACACAAAAACATACACAAAGCCACTTGGATTTCACCGGATCACACTACACAGAATCAAATCGACCATATCTGCATCAACAAAAAGTTCAGGAGGACGATGGAGGATGTGAGAACCAGGAGAGGAGCTGATATAGCATCAGATCATCATTTGCTGGTCGCCAGGATGAAACTAAAACTGAAGAAGCACTGGACAACGACGCGGACAACATCACAAAAGTTTAAGACGGCCTTTCTTCGAGATGCTGACAAACTCAACAAATTCAACATAGCCCTCAGTAACAGGTTCCAGGCCTTTTATGATCTACTCAATGGAGAGGGGACTACCATGGAGAGCAACTGGAAAGGTATCAAGGAGGCAATCGTTTCAACATGTCAAGACGTTCTGGGCCAAAAGAAGCACCATCACAAGGAATGGATCACTGTTGGTACAATGGATAAGATTGAAGCAAGGAGGAACAAGAAGGCAGCAATCAACACCAGCCGAACCAGAGCGGAAAAAGCCAAGGCACAAGCCGAATACAGAGAGGCAAACAAGCAAGTGAAGAGGAGCATCAGAACCGACAAACGTAAATATGTGGAAGATTTAGCAATGACAGCGGAAAAGGCTGCAAGAGAAGGAAACATGAGACAATTGTATGATACGACAAAGAAACTTGCTGGAAATTACCGTAAGCCAGAAAGACCAGTGAAATGCAAGGAAGGCAAAGTAATCACCGACATTGAAGAACAACGAAACAGGTGGGTAGAACACTTCAAAGAACTCTTGAATCGACCAGCTCCACTGAACCCACCCAACATCGAAGCAGCACCCACGGACCTTCCAATCGATATTGGCCCACCAACAATTGAAGAGATCAGCATGGCCATTAGACAAGTCAAGAGTGGCAAAGCAGCGGGACCAGACAACATCCCGGCAGAGGCACTGAAAGCAAATGTAACAGCAACTGCCAAGATACTCCACATCCTCTTCAGTAAGATTTGGGACGAAGAACAAGTACCAACAGACTGGAAAAAAGGACTTCTGATCAAGATACCAAAGAAAGGTGATCTGAGCAAGTGCGACAACTACAGGGGCATCACTCTTCTCTCAATACCAGGAAAAGTCTTCAACCGAGTATTGTTAAACAGGTTGAAGGATTCAGTGGACGCCCAACTTCGAGATCAACAAGCTGGATTTCGTAAGGATAGATCGTGCACAGATCAAATCGCAACTCTGCGGATCATTGTGGAACAATCAATCGAATGGAATTCATCGCTCTACATCAACTTCATCGACTACGAGAAGGCATTTGATAGTGTGGACAGGACGACACTATGGAAGCTTCTTCGACACTACGGCGTGCCTGCCTGAGAAGATAGTCAATATCATACGGAACTCCTATGATGGACTAAACTGCCAAATCGTCCACGGAGGACAACTCACTGACTCGTTTCAAGTAAAGACCGGTGTGAGGCAAGGTTGCTTACTCTCACCCTTTCTCTTTCTCCTGGTCATCGACTGGATCATGAAGACGTCAACATCTGGAGGAAATCACGGGATACAATGGACAGGCAGGATGCAGCTTGACGATTTAGACTTCGCGGATGATCTGGCTCTTCTATCACAAACGCAACAACAAATGCAGGAGAAAACGACCAGTGTAGCGGCAGCCTCAGCAGCAGTAGGTCTCAATATAAACAAAGAGAAAAGCAAGACTCTCCGATACAATACAATATGCACCAATCAAATTACACTTGACAGAGAAGTTTTGGAGGATGTGGAAACCTTTACATTTTTGGGCAGCATCATTGATGAACACGGTGGATCAGATGCAGATGTGAGGGCGCGGATCGGCAAAGCAAGAGCAGTATATCTGCAACTGAAGAACATCTGGAGTTCAAAACAATTGTCAACCAACACCAAGGTTAGAATTTTCAATACAAATGTCAAGACAGTTCTACTGTATGGGGCGGAGACGTGAAGAACTACGAAAGCCATTATCCAGAAGATACAAGTGTTCATCAACAGCTGTCTACGCAAAATACTTCGGATCCGATGGCCAGAAACTATCAGCAACAAGTTACTGTGGGAGACAACAAACCAGATTCCATCCAGTGGAGGAAGAAATCAGAAAGAAGCGCTGGAAGTGGATTGGGCACACTTTGAGGAAATCACCTAATTGTGTCACAAGACAAGCCCTCACATGGAATCCTGAAGGTCAAAGGAGAAGAGGAAGACCAAAGAACACATTACGCCGAGAAATAGAGACAGATATGAGAAGAATGAACAAGAACTGGATAGAACTAGAAAAGAAGGCCCAGGACAGAGTGGGTTGGAGAAAGCTGGTCGGCGGCCTATGCTCCATTGGGAGTAACAGGCGTAAGTAAGTAAGTAAGTAAGTAAGTAAGTAAGTAAGTAAGTAAGTAAGTAAGTAAGTAAGTAAGTAAGTAAGTAAGTAAGTAAGTAAGTAAGTAAGTAAGTAAGTAAGTAAGTAAGTAAGTAAGTAAGTAAGTAAGTAAGTAAGTAAGTAAGTAAGTAAGTAAGTAATGTTTTGGCATTACTCGATATTTACTCTAACGACTTGTAAATTCTTGCATATTACCTATTATTCTTTAATGTTCTCCATTATTCTTCTCCGGCTTTTTGAGAAAAGACTTTATTGTAGTGCGGAGAGTGCTAAAGGCAATTAGCAGGATGTGTGATGAGTCTTTTAAGGTCATTATTAATATGGTTGTGGATAGACATCTAAAATCCTGCAAACTCCTAGCAGGTGTTATCAGATACCAACCATCCACTTCATTCATATCTTTCTCCTAGTACATATCCTGGTAGAAAGAGACGTCAGTACATTAGAATCTATTCACGCAAGTAAAGGTAAAAAAGCGCTATAATACCTTATCTAGCAAATACACTGTGTCACGAACAGTTTGTTAGAGCTAACCTAGTCAATAACCAGTATTCTTAAATTTTTTTCTAATTATAAAGTTGTATAGATTCAAATTATCTTAAAAATAAACATTTCATTTGACATCACGTAGTTTACCTGCTTATTTTATGTATAAATGCATGCAGTTATTGTAGTTTTTTGTAAAAAAAAATTGTTGAAATAACTTGTGCCGAGAATTCTATGATGTACTAAGTACATAATATTGAATAAAGCTAATGATAATAATAACAATTCAGAAAGGTTTTTTCTAACTATAAAGAAAAGCGAGAAGCCGAAGGGTTTCATATCATGCCAAACTCCAATGACCTCTATAGGAAAGAAGGCCTGACTATTATACAACCAACTTGGACTGTTTATTCAAACAACCACATTTGAAGCAATTAGTCCCTTTGATAAATTTCGAGGTCCATGCTTCATTCAAAACCTAGACGACATGAAAACGATTGTGTCACATCCCACTGTGTTTACCAATTTAAATGTGTGTGTGGTCACACATACATAGGGAGGAGCAATCGTGATCTGAAAATTAGGGTGGGTGAACATGTACCAAAATGGTTGCAAAAACAAATACAGTCGAATGACCCAATAAGAGTAGAGGATAAACATCCATCATCCTCTATTGCTAAACATATAATCGAAACAGGTCATAAGATTGATCTAAACTCGGCTTTTGTGGTGTTGTTTAAAAGTGTAAAAGGGCGTATACTGAGGTTTATTGAAGCCTTAGCCATACGAAAATTCGACCCCCCTTTGTGTATTCAAAAACAGTTTGTTCTCTCTTTAAACCTACCCTGGTAATATATGCTTATTATCCAGAGTGATTAGGTGTCAAATTGTTTTCACATTATTTTATCATTATTATCCTTGTCTATTCTTACCCCTATTTCCAGTCTAGTTGACCTTTTATTTTTATATATAAATGTTCTTAACAAGTATATGTGTGATCAGATTGTTCGAAATGTATTGCGCTAATATATCACATAGTTCTGATAATCTTCGTCTTCTCATTGCATTATCGAAACCACATTTATTTTCTATACAATCTACTCTCACACACTTAATTTTAACCTCACTACTTCATATTACAAATTAAACATTTTTCATACCCACTTTCACACACAAATAAATACAGTGATATGTCATACATAATTATCTTGACCACAAATAACATGAGTTCGACACGTTCAGACTTATTAAGATTTTGATTGTATCAGTTTACCAGCTTTGAAAATTTAGTTTTATTTTTAGAAGCTAGACCACCAAGGGAAACCTGGAAGCACTGGACAGCCGTTCCGACCTATTGTGGGACTCCTTAGCAGTGCGCATCCACAATCCCGCCTCGCCAGATTCGAACCCAGGACCTATCAGTTTCGTGTGCGAGCGCTTAAACTCTAGACCATTGAACTGGCATCCAACGGTGTTAATACCCAACTTCAACCGATTATTTGTGATATAATGATGTGTTTTTTTTTTATTCCAAAGTAATAAATGAAATATATATGAATTGACTATGAAATATGTATGTATAAGTTGATGATATTTTCTTTTTTCGATTTCTTATAACGAAATCTATTATGTAATAATAAGTGCATTGTAAGAATTAACAAAAATTATTAATAGTCAATGGAGAAAGTGCATAAAATATTTTCATAAAAGTCTTTAAATATGCTGTGATAACTTTGCAACATTAAAAATGTACAGTAAATTTGTTAAATAGAAAATAAAACAATAACAATCTAAATCAGCATTATTCCTTAATGAAAAAACTGTGGAAATCAATTGTATGAATACTCTTAATTGTACTGTTGGCGTCGATAGTAACTTATTTCATTCTAGGTGGTTTTAGGTGCTATTTTGTGAAGTTTATTTCTTCATAAGAAGTGTGAAGTATAATGTTTTATTGCAACTCATTCCGATCTACTTTTGTGATACCTGACTTATCTGATATGATTATATTTGAAAAAAAAAACACATTCTGGATTCAATCATTGTTGACTCCAATAAATGGAATTATGTTTGGAGAAAAAACACGTAGGCAATCCTTAGATGTCGCTTAGCTAGAAATAACTAATATTCCATCTGGAATAATAAGCTAATTAACAAAAACCGCTAAAGTAAAGAAAATACAGTCAGTCAACCAATAGTGCTAGGATAATTCATAGTTGATTAACATAGAAATGTACGCAGATGAAAATTCATCTTTAACACAATATACTTCTTTACATTTAAGGTGACGTCATCATTGTTTTACTTGAATTTCAAACCCTCTAATACTTTCAAAGTATTACAACTTCACTTAAAGCACATTTTGTGCAAAATCCTAAGTTCTTGTATATCGATGTTCATTTAATATGGCTTTTTTCGAAAGATTAATTTGCTTTAAACTGATAGTGAAGTTATCCCAGTAATTCATCGATTTAACAAACTTAATGAAAAAAAACTTCACTTTCAAAAGTGTTCAATACCTGACTTATCACATTATATCACGACCACTTAAAACTTATCTAGAGAACTTAACTGTCTATATGTGGATTTTTCCATAACTATTTCGAATGTTCTATCCAATAAACTGTAGAACGTAATGTAATTGAGGGACGAATGTTTAAGTGAATTTACTACAAACGTCACTTGACCATTCAAGACGTAAACAGATACAAGCATGAGCTATGATGTAATAAATGATGTCGCAGTCCAAACTGTTACATGTCATAACACTGTATAAGGCGGAAATAAGACGTAAACACAGAGAGAATGGAAATAGTCTTCATGACAGTAAGCAAATGGAGGCTAACAGAATCTAAAAAAGTAAATAATGTTAAGGTGTCTGAAAACTAGTGTCAAATTAAGTAATACACATTTCCAACCATACTGTCTGACTTTTAGAAGCATTAAATTAAGCTGTATTGTGGCATGTCACCACACATATCTGAGATTAAAACTCATAAACATACCTACAAATTGATGAGTTATTTTGTTTGTGTGTGCCGGATTATAAGCCTACTCAAACTGAGTAGAGACCTAACAGTATAAAACATACAACTTGCACTTTTATTCTTTCAACCGCTGAGATTATTTCAAATATAGTGTTCACCTATAATGACTTCTCTATACTGGGCGCCCAATTTTGTCAAACTGTTAGTTCTAATATTGACGAATATTCGTATAAGTGAATCAAACTGTTAATTACAATCTGTTCAAATAAGGAAATACTGAGAAGAATCAAATATATTTAATATCCGAGTGTCCTTCTAAGGTGAAGAAACGAAGAACACAACATCTACAACGATATGAACAAGAATAAAAATCAACTGTACATTAAAAAGTGAGTAAAACAACTATGGAAATCTTACAAACCTGATATACAGCTCTAGCTAAACTAACACGTTGTTTTTGACCCCCGGACAAATTGACACCTTTCTCACCAATTTCTGTCTTATCACCAGCGGGAAGACGAGCAATATCTGTTTCAAGAGCGCATGCAGATACAACATTTTTATACCATAATTCTTCAATTTGCTCTGCAACTGGATTCGACTGAGTGGGATCGCTGGATGTGATAAAACGAATATTTTCTCGTAGAGATTGTTGTTGTATCCAAGCTGTTTGTGAAACATAAGCAATGGAACCCTAGGAAAATATTCATTTTTTGAAAAAATAAAGAAATATGATTTTCTAAACAATACGAAAAAACCTAACTTAAGAAAAGAAAATGAGACTGCCTGATATTTTGCGTGTGTGAAATAAAAGTTACGATAGACAAACATACAATTAATTATCAGAAGGGGTTTTGTGGAGATTTAGTAATTTCATAGTTGAAAGCGTCAGTCAATTGAAGCTAGACCACCATTGAAAACCTGGAAGCACTGGACGGCCGTTTCGTCCTATTACGGGACTCCTCGGTAGTGCGCATCCACGATCCCAGTCTCGAGCCAGAGCCCTTAACCGATAGACCACTGAGCCGGCATCCAACGGTGTTAATGTCTAACTTCAACTGATCCACGAAGTTGAGCAACCATTCACCAATTTTTTTCAGTGAGTTGATATCTCACGACAGACGTGGTTTGAACTCCACTGGTCACTGCTTCTCACTAGAACTCCAGGATTTACTTCTCGAAGACAGTCACTAGTGAGCATATGCTTATATTAATTTTCAGAAGGGGTTTTGTGGAGATTTAGTATTTTCATGGTTGAGTCCCATAATAGGACGAAACGGCCGTCCAGTGCTTCCAGGTTTTCCATGGTGGTCTAGCTTCAATTGACTCACGCCTTCAACTATGAAAACATACAATTGAAAATCATACTACTAAATGTATAGAGCGTTTATTAAAGTTTACATACTGGTCTACGCCAATAGGTAACACTATTTTCTATTTTTAAACATTTTAATTTAATCAACATTTTGTAATATAAGCATATTATTTTCATACGTAAAAGCAATATTGTTTGCTGACAGGGTATGTTGTATTATACATCCGTACAATTTGAGAATTGAGAGACTAATTACGTTTTCATGGGTGATCACTCTGACAATTTACAATTTACAATGTTTCCTGAATTATATCATATCAATACAAAGAACGACTAATATGGAATACCTTGACGTGTAAGAAGAATTAAACATATAAAATCAAGATGGAAATCCGAAATGCAGGGTCAAAAGGTTTTTTCGTTTTTTTTGGAAAACGAACCATTTAAATCAAAGAAGAACACAAATACAACTGATGAGGATCAATTGTACACAAAATGAAGCTCAAAAACTAAATTTGGATAGTGTCTAATATTCACACTCTGGACTAATTAAACTGAGCAGTACCTAACATCAATTGATCAATTTATGGATTAATTCAGTGGTATCATTTCGATTATACTGTTCAACACAGTCTGAATGACAAATAGCTGAAGGCTGAAAACCTCACTATCTAAACAACACTTCAGATAGTGACTTTTTGGCCGACTAATACACACCCACTACTCTACGAGCCTCGGTATTTGAACAACTACAGATGGGGTAATATGATTGAAGCTATGATACAAGGTTAATTAAGATGGGCAAAACAAAGATTATTCATTTGATTATAAGATATCTTAAAGCTTTGGGTTTTCCTCTGTAAGGCATAGAAATGATGTAATTTACTAAAAGCAAGACACACTATAGAGGGTCTTAACAAATTTCATTCGAATACTAATACACTGAACAAGTATAAATCCACTAACCTTAACAGAAACCTTTCCACTTCGTGTGAACATGTCAGACAGGCAGGCTGATAAGAAAGATGACTTTCCAGAACCTACGTTGCCAACAATTGCGACAAGCCATCCACGAGATATGCGTACATTCAAACTTAGAAAAAGAGGAACAAACAACAAACGACAAAGTTTATTTAAAAAAGAAACCTATCAGCAAACTCAAGTTTATTAGTTATATTACGAATTGGAATTTGAGACAATGTAGAAATTAATACTAAGATATTTAAATAAAATTGGATAGTGCCTAGTAGTGGAATCGACGACACACGTTTCGTCCTATTTAGGACACTTCAGCTAGATATAATCACACCCCAGTGTTGATGTTCGCACAGTGAGTTGAACCCGGTACCTTTCACCTCAAATACACGACGCCTTATCCATTGAGCTACTGAATCCAGGTAGTCACTGACTTGTGTGGCTTGTGAATTTCTAGTAATATTGAAGCAACTTGCTCAGAATTCACATATGCCGATAATGCAACCGGTCAAATTGCAATCTTTAATATCAACAGGAAGATATAAACACTTACAAACTCAACACCAAGTTTTCAATCAATCCTTCCTAAATGACAGAAAACTATCAGTGCTAATGACTTATTAACATATTTTAGTTTACAAGCTCTCGTTGAGTCGATATAAAGTTATGGTGTGAAGATAAATTCAAACGTTTTTACTAACCAGTATAACTTTGCTTACTTTTGTAATACCAATGGACCAGTTTTAGTCCATGAAAACGAAGCATTCTCAAATATAATGGCATCTGTTGATTCTAAATTATGAGGAGAATGAAAACGATATTCAAAATTGCAGAATAGACAAACCAAAACAAAAATATAACAATGTTAAATAAAGTCCTATTTTAAATATACAATAAGGTTAATTTATTCATTTTATTATATAACACTCCCACACTTGGAATCAAATACAAGGAGTTTTTCTTAGTATATGAGCACATTGACAAGGTTTACATTCGTTCATGGGTTATGCAATTCGCAAATGTTATGTGCAATTTACGATGAATAAAAAATTCCAGTCCGCTTTCCTACGGAAAAAAAGAGAGTAAGAAAATCTATTTCGATTGAACACTATACTGAACTAAGGAAATAAACATATTTTCGAGTGGATTTTCGAATTATTTACACAAGTCTATGGTTTAAATATTCACTATTGTCTTCAATAAATATACATTTGATCTAGTTATGCTATATACAAGGGCTATTTAGAAAATAATCAGAATTTTCTCTTCCACTTTATTATACAGTTGAACGCCATGGAAAATAACTTGAAACAATAGTAAACCTCAGTCATGATGAGCTCGAGCAATATTGAGAATGTGAAGGTTGTTGAAATATCTCGAATGCTCTGAATTTTGAAGAATAATTCTTCTTGATAGAACCAGAAGGATAGACAGCATTAGAATTGATTAGTATGCGAACCTGATAATTTGACTGTAAAGCAATAGGGACAACATTTTGATAGCGGAAATACACGAACTAATTGTACGTAGTTTCGTTGTGTTTGTTCTATATCTTTGAAACTTTATCAACCTTCCACCAATTGTAGGGGGTTGAGAACTCTGTATATATGAATTATCCAGGAAAAACACTTATTGTTGCCACACTTTTGTAGACAACCGCGACTACTGAGTAAAGATATTGGTTATGATTAGCGATAAAAGACATGGTAAAGATCATCTGAGGAATATTAGAAAAACAGAAAATTCTCAACACTAATTGTGTAATATTACAACAGATACCTCCTTCATACACATTCAGATTGTAATTATTCAAAACAAGTGTTAACAATGTTTTTCTTAACTAATATCTTCCACCTGTAGTTAATCATTAAAGTTTTCCACCAGTTCAATTGCTGCAACGATTTTCCTCTTAAAATATAAGGTGCTTGAATTTTAATACATTTGCTTCTCGTTTTGTCCAAAAATCGATTTTTTAAAAAGGATGTTATGTCAAGAACTGTAGTATTTTTGTTTGCATGTCCAGGTGTTCAGTATCATCATATCTTATAACCCTTTAATAATAGAACGTGAGCACACACAAACACAGTTAGCATTCATAATTACCTAGTTCGAACAAACCTAAAACAGGAATTTTGTGGAGATTTCAGTAATTTTATAGTTGAAATCATGAGTCAATTGAAGCTAGACCACCATGGAAAACCTGGAAGCACTTGACGGCAGTTTTGTCCCATTGTAGGACTCCTCAGCAGTGCGCATCCCACAATAGGTTTTCCATGGTGGTCTAGCTTCAATTGACTCATGATTTCAACTATAAAATCTCAAACAGTTCATTCAGTTGAAAATTTGAGTAGACCCCCGTCAATCCATATTTTTCCAATGTACGCTACCACACAAAGTGACAGTGTCCGAAGATAAAACCCTAGCTTTGTACCTTCTAATCGTCTATCTGATTTACATAAGCTTACTAGGTCCGATTAATTATTCATCTCTAAATAAAGAAAATGTTACATTCTATAACCACTATACTCACATTCATAACTATTTCTGTACAACTAAAAAAATTATCAATTTGTTTGCAGGAAATCAGACCTGAAAATAGATAGGTTCATAATAATGTGCAATTACCTGTACTTACTTTCATCAAGAGGATAGATTTTATCCGAGGAATAATGCTCTAATTCATCAGCTAAAAGAAATAATCCAAGGCGGCGAATCGAAACAAAGGCCTACAAATTGATGAACAAATAAAAATAATAAAACACATATAAAATTATTAAATTCATAACAATCAAACTGTAAAGAAATACACACAGTCAAAACAACTTAGGATCTACGCACAAATATACATTACCATACACAAGCAATAAATGGTTCAAATGTATGATCAAATATGTTGCCAACTATCAAAGGTTATATTTTACAGTTGAATGCTGTACTATACAGACCAATACGCTAAAGAAGGACGCATACAGTCAATACAGTTACATAAAATTCAAACGAAGAAACCGTAAAAAATCTTTCGTTTATAGTTACAAATTAAAATCATTAATTTTATTTGATTTAAATATTCCATCGAAACTACACCCAACTTGGACTAGATGAATTGAAGTTTTACTGATTAAAATGGAATAGACAAATTAACCTACTTATTGTGCAGTCCAATAACCATTGAATAGCTAGCTTACAGACAATAATTTATGGAAAACTAGGTTAAACTACTGTTGGTACACTAATAATTAGATTAAAGTTTATAAAAATGACATAATGTCTGAGATTTTAGAGCTTAAAAATACAGTGTTACATAATATATTGTTATCATTATCCAATATTAAAAGTGATATTAGTCACAACAGAGAATAAAACTAGTTAGTAATGCATCGATTTTCATATAGATAACCACAAATGTAGATCAATCTAACGACTTGTACAAAAAACACTACAAATATATGAATACTGACTATCACCAACAACATATTAATATTAAAATACATAACAGAGAGTATAAATGTATCGTTATTAAATTTGTTAAATTCCTTACTTTTCAAAGACAAATTCATTTAGATATAAAAGACATACATTTTACTCTGAATCACTTCGTTATTTTATGGTAAACTATCCAATAAATACACTTAGTATTGTTTGTTTGAATCTTCCCATTGATTTGTTAGGACTGCAACTGATCAGTCTCTAATTGGCATATGTGCATACTGTGCGTATTGCCTCAATATAGCCTTAATTCACAAGCATGGTAAGCAGAGATGGATAGTGGCTAGCAGTGGAATCCAGGACGCGCGTTTCGTCCTATTATTACGTTTTTGCTGCAATATGTAGTTAATACTATTGAAAACAATTATTATTGTATAGATCTACATAATTACCTCTCGTCTCGAACGTATTAATAGTATTCATAGCTATTGAAATAATAACCTTATATGCTTTTTCATTATTCAACCACATAACCTATAAACAAGCTAATAGAAACTGAATACTTTAACTCATTTACCAAAAACAAGTTAGATTTAATCCATCCCAAATTTATCTCAAAAAGATACTGGTTGGCCACTGAAAGTTTATAATTAATTACAAGAAATAACATAAATCCTCTGTTGCATGTTAAAAAAAAGTATCTGATCCTCAAGAAGTGGGCCATTAACAAAAACATACATTCGATTGTTTAGTTAATTATAACATATGCACAATCTGTTATGTATTTTCCAATCAATATACTCCAATAAATCCAACTGATTGTTGTTTCATTTAAGTGTGGTGACATTCCTAACTCTAGCCAGATGTTAAGTATGACTATTGAATTTAGATAATTTATGTAGCGAACTGTTCTTGTGATTTGATTTATCTTCGGTAGTTTTGATTTCGATTATTTCCCTGAAATTTAAACCACATTGTCTGATGAAACGTTGGAAATGATACTGTCACAAATAAAATTTTATTTTTAATGAAGTGTTCCATTAGAATTAAAAGCCTCGATCTTCTGATGATAGTACATTAAATCCAGAAGGTCGACCTTCAAATGTATTTTGCAAAACTGGCTGAAGTTTATACATAAAATGTTTATCAGATAGATGATAAAAAATTTATTCATATTTCAACAGACATTTAGAACATACCATTATTGAAGATGAAAGACTCCATGGTAAAAGAAGTAGTGGACTACGTAGTAAATTGAACAAACTGACACTAACAAAAATCCGTTCAGGAGTTAACAATTGAGGTGTAGGGATATCAGTGGTATTTCCGACCAAATTATCTAACAATACATTGTGGTTGGCGAATAAGAACTCTCTTAAATAAGTAACAAACGTTATCAATAAAATAATATATGGCGCCAAATTCCAAACAACATGGCACAGACCCCACCCTAAAGCGACACGTAATAGTTCAATTAGTTCAGATTTACGAATTGACTTGACTTGAGACTGAAACGCCTTTTCCCATGCATAAAGTTTAACCACCTAAAATAAAACAATTGTAGTTTAAAAAAAAAAGTGTCATTGATCACAACTGACAGCTAACATAGCAACTGATGTGGTGAAGGAAATGGTAATAACTGTTGCTATTTCAATAAACTTTGCTGCCAGGTCAGTCGATCAAGAAATAGCCATATAAACATTGATTAATGAAAACTTTTATAAAACTACAAGACCAAAAAGGCAAATCTGTTACAAAGTTACATCTAGCCTGTTAATTACATAATATCTTGGTCAAATAAATGACAATTAAAAACTTGCGGTTGATTTGATGATGCAATCATTGAATATGCACGTCCACCGCACCACTTAGCTCAGGAGTTAAAAATGATGCATTTATTCAGAGTAGGTATTGTAATAAGGATTTGGTAAACAAACAATGGTTTTCACTATACTGGGGTGTGATATCTAGTGTCAAACTTTGCCCATTCATAAATTAGGTACAAGAAGTGTAGAATAGTTATTACTCAAAAATGAGGACTACATACAAACGCTTCAAATCTGAAATTTTACAATAACATGAACGTGGCGATAACATTGAACGTCCAACCTACTAATAATCAACTAAATACCTAAATATTTAAGTTATTTTGTACGACTAAGAAATAAAGGTGTATAAAAAGACAGGCTTCTATCAATCTCATAGTAATACTCAACAGTATATACATTTTCAACCGACTAAATGTTTCATGTATCATATATATATCACCCGAAAATATCAAAACCAAACCACTGAGATTTGGGACCAAATGAGTTCATTATACGAAAAATAATTCAGACGTGATAGAAGTAAATTTTGTTAGTTTACACTATAAGTTGTCATTAATCAGACAACTATTGAAAAGCAAAAACCAAGAATGAATATAAACTTACACGTATAGCAGCAAGCACTTCGCCTAAGCATTTCATACGCTTGTCTTTATATTTCATTTCACGAATCTGAAAAGTAAAACGAACTAAATGTCTACTTTTCTAAATAAAATAACGGGTACATAACCCTAAACAATAAAACATACTTCCAGTCGCGACATATGACTCTATTTAATATGTTACCAGCCAAACGATCATAGATTCTTTTAAAGCATTACTCATGTATGCTGGAAACATTAAGTAATGCTGACATTGGGCATAGAGTATTTACCAAAATCGTTTGATATGACGGTAAGTCTTCATCTGTTAAGACAGTATGTGTATCTAGGGGATTTCCAACCTGAAGCCTTGTGTTGATTGATATAAGAATAGGTTAGTTACAGTACTAGAAGTTGAGAAACAAAGACATTGAACCAGACCATCAACTTGGTGACTAATGGACTCAGTCGTATCATGAAATTTAAACTTCCTGGTTTATATCTTTGGGATAATCGTGATCCCTGGTTGCAGATGTTACGTAGCGTGGTTCAAAATCGTTTACAACGCCATATATACATTTCTTCTTTATCTTACTATTTTTATAGAGCTTAATGTCGTTCCATATGTTTCACCCTTTGATTAAATTTGTGGCTTTCAAATCATACTCTCTATCTAGTTTCTCACTACAGTTAATATTATTATTTCCAGTCCTGTGGTGTATAAATGTATTCTCTTACTGAAATGATATATAAGATTTGGGAACCTGAGTAGATTTAAACTTTCATGCAGGGTCCACTGTCTATAACTGGTTGATGAACAATTTTCAATAACCTAAATAAGATCTACGACCATAGTTGTAATCCCAATGACTTATCCTTAACAGAAACAGAAAAACAAAATTAACCATCCATTCATTTGTAGAATAACCTAATTTAAGAACTATAACTAAAAAATAAAATTGCTTACCTCAAATTTTTGAGTAGCCCATATCAGTAAACAATTAAGTGGCAATACTAATAACAAAAATCCAACACCAGCTATCGCAGCTGAACCAAGTTGACGCCATAACAAAATAAACGACAAACCAAATTCAATGAATGCATCCCAAACAAGGAACGAGAACACTAGACAAAAACATTTTTAGTATAGAGATTATTTGAGGACAAATTATAATTATTAAAGTTGTGTACATTCGTAGTCAGAGAACTGAGATTATGATGTTTACTAATTCGGTTAATATAATACGAAAATCAATTGTTTAATATAAACACTAGAAATGGATATTAGTAATATTACAAGTAAAAACACAAACTATTTACTATCAGGTAATAGATATGCCATTGTTTATAACCACTTAAATAAGTTTCTACCGGCAGGAGTTAAATAACACGAATTGCATGAATGTGAATAACTTTACAGTTTGATAGCGTATTTAAAACGCTATTTTACATACCTCTGATTTATTTCCATCAAGCTGCGATTTTAACAGGTCATCAGTGAAATACTATTGAACAATATCACGAAGTATAGTTCCTAAATCACTGATATTGTCAAGTAAAACAATGAAACAGGTTAGTAAATAATGTGGACAGTTGGATACCACCTATGTTAATCACATAACCTAGACTGTGAAAACAAAATCATTTAGAATTCAGACATCCCTGTCGAAAAACAAATCCAGTTCAGTTTGTTAGTAGATGGAAAAATTGTTGACATTACAAACCAGAACGAACAAATCATTATCATATGATCATCATATGTTTTACCAGTAGTGAACAACCACTAGTAAACTAATCTTCGTTGACTAAATTTTCCAGACGATGTTACTTACTTACTTACGCCTGTTACTCCCAATGGAGCATAGGCCGCCGACCAGCTTTCTCCAACCCACTCTGTCCTGGGCCTTCTTTTCTAGTTCTATCCAGTTCTTGTTCATTCCTTTCATGTCTGTCTCTATTTCTCGGCGTAATGTGTTCTTTGGTCTTCCTCTTCTCCTTTGACCTTCAGGATTCCATGTGAGGGCTTGTCTTGTGACACAATTAGGTGATTTCCTCAAAGTGTGCCCAATCCACTTCCAGCGCTTCTTCCTGATTTCTTCCTCCACTGGATGGAATCTGGTTTGTTGTCTCCCACAGTAACTTGTTGCTGATAGTTTCTGGCCAACGGATCCAAAGTATCTTGGGTAGACAGCTGTTAATAAACACTTGTATCTTCTGGATAATGACTTTCGTAGATCTCCACGTCTCCGCCCCATACAGAAGAACTGTCTTGACATTTGCATTGGAATTCTAACCTTGGTGTTGGTTGACAATTGTTTTGAGCTCCAGATGTTTTTCAGTTGTAAGTATGCTGCTAGACGATGTTACATTGAGTCAAAATTACCTTATACAAATTTAAACATAAGAAAGTTTACAAATAAACTTGCACAATAAACTAATTACCACACTTACTAAAAAGTTCTTTTATACGATTCACATCAACACTGAGCAAATTTATTAATTCCCCCGTCGTATACTGGCTTCGAGCTTCAGAAGATAATCGAAGAGACTGAGAATAAATAATGAAAATATATTACCAGAAATTTTTTTTAAATTACGAGAACTATGCTGAATGCTGATAAATTAATTAATTAAACTCACTTTACGATAAATTGCAGACGTAAGGGCTGATCGGACAGATATTCCCAAAGACAAACACGAGTAGAAACCCTTTTGATCCACTAAAACAGATATTGACTGAAGAAGTAACATTGAAAATGCAATAAAATATCCTTGCCATAATGGAGCTTCAGGTTTGGAAAGAAATCGAAGTAACATCCTAAAATTGATGGATATATATCACTAAATAAATGTGAGTAAAAATTGGTTACAATGTAATATGACGTTAATATTGTTATTGTCTTGGTTCTATCTTAATAAAATATTCATAACATGTGTAAGGATTAATAATTTATGGTCCTTATCTGAAGGTATGGAATCTAATCAACTGTTTTCAACTAACTAAATAGATACCTCTCCGAAAACAGCAAAATTGAAATTCCTGGAACGTTCTAACCGTACAAAATATCATCCTCATTACAATTCAAAACCTCCAGACAATCCTAGTGACAAAAGCAAAACAATGAAAATAATACATAACTTACCAGACTACACTATGTCCACATATGCACTTACCCGAGTAACAGTGGTGAACTGTAGTTGAAGAATACAGCAGCCGATATAAAAATCCACCCGCAAAATAGACGCAAACCAAAAGATGAAATAAGAGCGTAGAATAGTCCCCATGTGGCACGTGCAGGACTGGCTTTTATCGTACTCTGCTTGCATACTTCCAGATTATATGAGTTTGAGTTGTTATTAGTAGTAGATGGCGACAAGATATCAACATCAGGTATTGCATTCAACATATTTGCATCATTCGAGACATTTTCAGTATCTTCATTATTCTCTTTAAAATCCATCAACAACGGCACATCATCATCCATAACATTTGAAAATGGTGTTTCTGATCTTAAAAAAATTGATCAAAAAAACAATAAGTCTAGAAAACAAAGCATTTAATTAAGTTGCAGAACCTAAGTTTTACGTTGTGCTATAGATAATGTTTGATAATTAGTAATTCAAACTTAAGAAAATGAAAGACACATTTTAGCGCAAGTGAGAATCAGTCAAAAAACTAGGACTCGCTGTAGATAGATTAGTTTACAGAATTATACGCCGGCAACATGCTAAGTTTCATATTCTCTGTCAAACGTTAGCGATCCTGTTCTTCTGTGTCAATAAAAATTATCAGAGTCAATCGAATGTATTCAAAACAGTAAGAAAGGTTTATGCAAATCATTAATTCAACTAAGTAACATAGCACAGATTCACGTACTTGGCTATGAGATACAATTTTTCTTCTACAACCGTAGCATATAGACCAAGATTGAAACATTTAAGTAAAGTGCTTTACCCACTAAGTCATCTGTATCAATATACCCAATCCAAGAATCCCTAATGATCAAACAATAAATTATTATATGTAGGTTATTTACTAGAAAATCAACTATAATCAAGCGCAAAATTAGATCACTTGTATGAACAGAATGTTGGGGAGATCCAGAAAACTCCTCAAAAAAGATTCTGAAAACGCTGAGAAGCAACTTATCCAATCAGCATTCAATAAAAGTTTTGCCAGAAACATCTGGTAAGTGAAAAGTCACATATTGAGTTTCTGATTAGATGATTACCTATACCGCTACTATGCTTAGTAGTGTCCCAGAATTTTCCGGAAACCCAAGGCCATCTATAATATAAAAACCCTAGATTTTCTGTGCATAAACGAACCTTAGAGTAAAATGTTTCCTCCATATTTCGTGCCTTTTCTCTCGTGTTCAAGTCGCTGTGTAGATTTAACCCGGGGGGTTACTAGAAGAGCTTAGGAACCGAATCTAGAGTTCAATTAGAAGACTTATCAGAGTTTAACCTACAAACGTAAATGACATATTTCATAAAAATCAATAAATCACGATGTGAATAAAAACTGAGGTTTAAATCAGATAGGTGTCATGCAGTTGTAGTGATTTTAAGTAGTAATGCAATAATGAACCTTGAACTTATCAGCTGTTAGATAATATTACAATTGATAAGTTAATTATTTGTGAAATTTATAGTAGATTAATGTCTATGACTAGGTACAAAGTGAAAGATTTATTTTATATGTAATCACAATTGTAATGTTATTTAATGACATATTGAAAAATAATATTTACAAAATATAAATATAACTGCCTATGACTAATATTTATGATCAACTACATTAAGTGTTGCTACTAAACGAATAAACTAGTTGTTTAGCAAAAAATAACTAATTTTGAAAACTCAAGCTGCACAGAAAACGTTGGATTCGGGAAAGATGTTGTTGTACTCTGATCACGAAAAAAATGCTACGCACACACAAGGAGTTGCATTAATACTGTACAAAGAAACACAAAAAACAATTATAGGAAAAGAATATCATGGATTCAGGAGCATCAAAGCATTCTTCAGAACGAAAAAGGAAGGGATTACAATGAGTGTTATCCAGTGCTATGCACCCATCAATGATACTAATGAAGATGATAAAGACCAGTTTTATGACAGGCTGCAGTCGATCGTAGAGAAGTGCTCAGGAAAGAATCCGACCATCCTGATGGGAGCTTTAACACCCGAAGTCGGAATGGGCAACACCGGGTACGAAAATATCATGCGACGACACGAAGTTGGAGAAGGGAACAAATAGGTTAGTTGATAAAATCCCAATTTATGTATTTATTCATTGCCAAATGGTCTAACCATGTAATTCCATATTATCTGATAGGTGTCTTCGGAATGCTTCTTACGTAATTTAGGACCACAGAGTGAGCAATGTTGAGATTAGACCCGTGGTACCAGACAAGTATTGTAAATCGGTTGATAAGATCGCGGATCTTTATCCAGTGAGGTGGTTGGAACATGTACCATGTACGTTCAACAACCGCCTATCCCGATGCGCGATCCTGGTATAGGGGTAGGTTGGAAGAAAGCTAGAAGGACCTAAACAGAAATTCGGAACCAGTCTACTAATTCATTGATTGTTGGATTGAACCATGTTAGTAGATGGAGAACACTTGGTTTGGGTCCTCAAAGGTATTGTGACCGATGGTTGGGGTAGGATGGTGGTCCAAAGTCAGTCACAATAGCACGGATATATTTACTCTTTGTCATCCCTTAGATCTTAAGTTCAAAAGTTATTTTATGATTATTATAATAAATTTCTAATAATCGTCTCGAAACTAATGATAAGTTGTCCCATCTACCAGTCACAGGTTTGTATACTCACCTTTAAACCGCACTACTTATGTGAAAAATATAATTTATGGACGAACCAATCAAATATAAGATAACGAGTCTTTGATTTTGGCACAAAGTTCATTCATACATTTGGCTAAACAGCGTCCATAAATTATAGTCTCACTGACTAGTGATACTAACTTGTTGCACAAACCGAAGTCTGCAAAGCAGGAGTTCGACTTTCCGTGACCTGGTTGACTGGTGGGCGGACATCGGGTGTAGATGGCTCAGCAGGTCTCTGGAGCGCTGGCACTGAACGTCCCAGGTGCCGGGTGGGCATCGATTTTGATGGCCCAACTGGTTGACGGAGCTATGAAGGTCAGCGAGCTGCAGACTCGACATTTTGACGGAGAGCGTGGAACAGGTTGAACAAAGTAGCACGGCGAGCAGAACCAACGCAAGAACGACTGCTTTAAAGGAAAAATGAGTGTGGTGTGTGCTACTGATTTCAACAGATATGAATAGTATATGCCATCAAATGAAAGTGAAATGCCTGGCGGCAGAAGGTTAAGAAGATCGAAGAAAAGTGAACGAGAACAGATAATGATTGGTGTGAAAACGAAGAAACAATCAAGTTTAAAACGATTGGTAGACATCTTGAAGATGAAGTATTTATTGTATGGTTCTCAGATTTCATTAAAACATTCTGTAACTTTGTCTAATACATTTGGTTGACCCTGCCTGCGCTCTCGTCCACTACGCTTTAACTAATAATAATTTAATATGCAATGTGCTTGCGATTGAACTACTTTTAATATTGACCTATTGAAAGGTATACCTTAACTAAGCTTATTGTTTCTTGATTTATTTTACTAAGCAGCTCCACATAATCTGAGACATATCATTGACATACAAAGTCAGAGGCCATCACAAAGTGAATACTTACTCTTTTCTCTTGAACCAAAGATTATGGGATCTATTCCAGGCACGCTTAAAACGACCATAACTTTCATTAACTGAATCTTCAGGACGTATATGAAACATATCTGAAGGACTGTTAATTTGACCTCGAAATCCTTTCCAAATAGTACTGCATACAAAATCAATGTTGAAAAAAGATCAATAAACGATTCATACAAAAAATATCCAAGTTTTTATAATAGTATCAGTAATAATTTAAACGACAGTTTATGCTTTAAATTATAAAAGTGTTATAAAGGTAGGATACTTGTTATAACTCTAGGGGTTTCTTGTAATAACAGTCCTTTCGCTTTTTACACGTATGTGGGACGGTAATTTACCTTAGACGAATATCTACACTAGATTCCCTCCCAAAGTATGTTCTACAGGACTTCAACACAACTCAGATCAAGAACACGAGATTGGCCTAACTATACTTACTTACTTACTTACGCCTGTTACCTCTCGTCGAGGAGCATAGGCCGCTCACCAGCATTCTCCATCCAACTCTGTCCTGAGCCTTCCTTTCCAGTTCTTTCCAGTTAACATTCATCATTTTCATATCGGCTTCTATTTCCCGGCGTAGTGTGTTCTTTGGCCTCCCCCTTTTCCGCTTCGCTTCCGGATTCCAAGTTAGGGATTGAGTCGTGATGCACATTGGTGATTTCCTTAATGTATGTCCGATCCACTTCCAGCGTCTTTTCCTAATTTCCTCTTCAGCTGGAAGCTGGTTTGTCCTCTCCCATAAAACGCTGTTGCTGATAGTATCCGGCCAATAGATGTTGAGTATTTTGCGTAGACAACTATTTATAAGTACTTGTACCTTCCTGATGATGGTCGTAGTAGTTCTACACGTTTCAGCTCCATACAGTAGGACTGTCTTGACGTTTGTATTAAAGATTCTAACCTTGAAATTGGTTGAGAGTTGTTTTGAGTTCCACATGTTCTTCAATTGTAAAAATGCTGCCCTTGCTTTGCCAATCCTCGCCTTTACATCTGCATCCGATCCTCCTTGTTTATCAACGATGCTCCCCAGGTACTTGAATGTTTCCACCTCTTCCAGAGTTTCGCCATCAAGTGTGATTGGGTTGGTGTTTTCTGTGTTGCATTTGAGAATCTTGCTTTTTCCTTTGTGAATGTGGAGGCCTATCGATGCGAAGGATTCTGCTACGTTTGCTGTCTTCGTCTGCACTTGTTCGTGTGTATGAGAGAGGAGGGCTAGGTTGTATGCGAAGTTCAAATCATCTAATTGATTCTGAGAAGTCCATTGTATTCCGTATTTCCCTTCAGATGTCGAATTCTTCATAATCCAGTCAATCACTAGAAGGAAGAGGAATGGGGAGAGTAGACAGCCTTGTCTGAATCCGGTCCTTACTGGAAATGCAACTGTCAGATGTCCTCCATGCACCACTTTGCACTGTAGTCCATCGTATGAGTTCTGCATAATGTTGAAAATCTTCTCAGGAACTCCATAGTGTCGAAGAAGTTTCCATAATGTTCTCCTGTCCACACTGTCAAATGCCTTCTCATAGTCAATGAAGTTGACGTATAGTGATGAGATCCACTCAACTGATTGTTCAACGATGATCTGTAGTGTCGCAATTCGGTCTGTGCACGACCTATCCTCACGGAATCCAGCATGTTGATCGCTAAGTTCGGCATCTACTGCGTCTTTCATCCGATTCAGCAACACTCTGTTGAAAACTTTTCCTGGTACTGATAAAAAACTGATGCCTCTGTAATTCTCACATTTGCTCAGATCTCCTCTCTTTGATATCTAGATGAGATATCCTTCTTTCCAGTCTATGGGCACTTGTTCCTTCTCCCAAATCTTCATGAATAGGAGTTGAAGCATATTTGCAGTTACTTCAATGTCTGACTTCAGTGCTTCAGCTGGCATATTTTCAGGTCCTGCTGCTTTCACATTCTTGATTTGTCTGATGGCTGGACATCTTGATTTCTTCGATTGTTGGTTGAGTGACATCTATAGGAAGGTCAGTGTATGCTGCTTGGATATTCGGTGGGTTTAATGGAGCTGGTCTATTCAGCAGTTCCTCGAAGTATTCTGCCCATCTTTTCCTCTGTTCTTGAATCTCAGTGATTGTCTTTCCTTCTTTGTGCTTGACTGGTCTCTCTGGTTTGCTATATCTCCCTGCCAATTTCTTCGTTGTATCATATAGTTGTCTCATATTCCCTTCTCTTGCAGCTTTTTCCGCCGTTCTCCCATGTATTTCTGCTTATCGGTTTTAATGCTTTTCTTCACTTCCCTGTTTGCTTCTGCATAGTCTGCTTGTGCTCTGACTTTCTCTGCTCGTGTTCGGCTGTTGTCAATTGCTAGTTTCTTGTTCTTCCTTTCTTGAATTTTGTCCAGGGTTCCCATAGAGATCCATTCCTTGTGATGATGCTTTTTACAACCCAGAACCTCCTGACACATTGAAGTTAGTGCTTCTTTTATCCCTTTCCAGTTGTCCTCCAAAGTAGTTTCTTGTTCTTTCAGTAGATCCTGTAGAGCTTGGAACCTGTTGTTGAGAGTTATCTTGAATTCATGGAGCTTGTCAGTATCTCGAAGGAAGGCTGTATTTAACCTTTGTAATGCTGTTTCCCCAGTTGTCCAGTATTTCTTTAGCTATAGTTTCGTCTTTGCCGACACCAATCGGTGGTTATATGGAGCTACGTCAGCTCCTCTCCTGGTTCTCGCATCTTCTATTGTCCTTCGGAATTTTTTGTTGATACAAATATGATCTACCTGGTTCTTTGTGGTGTGGTCCAGTGAGATCCATGTAGCTTTGTATATGCGTTTGTGTGGGAATATTGTGCCGCCTATAACCAATTTGTTGAATGCACATAGATTTTCAAATCTCTCCCCATTTTCATTTCTCTCTCCTAGTCCATGTCGTCCAATTACATCTTCATATCCTCACAACCTCATCCTCAGAGAATCAAAGTTGGTTTAAAGCTAAATTAGTGGACATAGCGCATCAATTTCACTCCTTTGGACCGAAGCAGAGAAGCATACTAACTTCTCAGCAATTCAAATCCTTAAAAGAATTGCGAAACAATGCCGATATTATTATACTTAAACCCGATAAAGGATATGGTGTTGCAATTATGAATAAGTCCGATTACATAAATAAAATGGAATTGATTCTCAGTGATAAGGGCAAATTCATGGCTGATGTTGACTCTGATGGATTATATAAATTAGAAAAGAAAGTAAACTCGAATCTAACAAAACTGTTAAACATGAACGCTATTAACAAGGATAAGTTTCATTTATTAAAACCTATGGGTTCGGTGTATCCTCATTTATATGGATTGCAAAGAATACATAAGCCTAATATCCCTTTACGTCCAATTCTATCAATGTGTCGGTCACTTACACACAAACGTGCGAAATGGCTTACAAAAGTATTAAATCCTATCCGACATCAATTTTGTAAGTATTCCTTGATTGACTCATTTGATTTAATTAAATACTTAAAGGATATGAATATAAAAACAAAGACAATGTGTTCTTTTGATGTGAACACTTTATTTACAAATGTACCCCTGAGAAAAACTATTGATATTTTATGTGACTATATTTCACTTAATAATCTTCCATTGTCATTTCCTGTTGAAACTCTTAAGGATCTATTATTATTGTGCACTGACAATGTAAAATTCACATTTCAAGGTGAGCACTTTCGACAAATTGATGGCGTAGCTATGGGTAGTCCTTTAGGACCATTGCTGGCGGATGTGTTCATGGGGTATGTTGAAAATTTAGCTGAAAACTCGATCCAAAAGATGTGTCTGTATAGACGATACGTTGATGACATCATAATCATAGGGGATAAATGTGAAGACGTAAGCCGCTTGCTAAAAGAATTCAATACAAGTCAGAAGCATATTTCGCTTACGTGCAAAAAAGAGAACAACCAACTTCCTTTTCTAGATATACTGATCAGTAGGAGAGAAGATAGTTCCATCCAACGTTCTATATATAGAAAGCCGACATGGACGGGGCAATACCTTAATTTCCATAGTCACTGCCCAATTCATTACAAACGTGGTTTAATTAAGGGCTTATTCAATAGAATCAATCGTATTTGTACTAGTGATAATATTGAAGTAGAAACGAAGCTTTTAACTAATACGTTAACGAATAATGGTTACTCATTTAAGTTCATAAACCGCTGGAAGGGTTGCAATACGATTAGACCTATGACGCTTCTGGCACCCAAAAAGCGAGTAGTCATTACATTGTTTTTGTATACTTTATTTTCTTACCTTAACCTGTCTAGTTGACCTTTTAATTTTCATATAAAAAAATGTCTTAACAAGTATATGTGTGATCAGATTGCTCGAAATGTATTGCGCTAATATATCACATAATTCTGATAAACTTCGTCTTTTCAATGTATTATCGAAATTTATCAAAGGGACTAATTGTTTTAGATATAGCTGTGATCTATCTGGTTCTCTGTGGTTTGGTCCGGTGAGATCCATGTAGCTTTGTGTGGGAATATGGTGCCGCCTATAACCAATTTGTTGAATGCACATAGGTTTGCAAGTCTCTACCCATTTTCATTTCTCTCTACTAGTCCATGTCGTCCAATTACATCTCCATATCCTGTGTTGTCCACTCCAACTTTAGCATTTAGATCTCCCATCAGGATGGTCAGGTCCTTTCGTGAGCACTTCTCTATAATTGATTGCAGCCTTTCATAGAACTGATCTTTATCATAGTCGTTGCTATCATTGGTGGGTGCATAACATTGGATAACGTTCATTGTGATCCCTTGCTTCTTTGTTCTGAATGATGCTTTGATTATCCTGGGTCCATGAGATTACCATCCCACAAGTGCATTTCGTGCTTCTTTGGACAGCATTAGAGCAACTCACTAAATGTGTGGAGCATTTCCCCTTCGTGACCGGAGTACAGCAGCATCTCTCCTGTACCTAGCCTTTGTTGTCCAGCTTGTGTCCAATGGGTTTCTCTGATTCCGAGTACTGCCAATTTGTCTCTCCTCATTTCCATTGTTATTTGACTGGTCTTCCCGGTCTCCCACATTGTCCGGACGTTCCATGTACCTATAAAGAGTGTTGCTCTGGTTGTAAGAAGGTGCATCGGCCTCATGACTTCCGAAGGAACTCGGCTTTCATCATGAGATGTCATAATTATTCCTTCAACTCCCAGGGCACAGTTTAAATGGTTTGAATTATTTTTTCTGGTTAGCGTTTTTTTAGCGAGTTAGCTTTTCTACGGGATGGGATCGCTAACCCCATGCCCAACCCTCCTCCTTTACCCGGGCTTGGGACCGGCAGTAACTCTAGAAGGCTATAACTATAACGTCAATATATTTCCACACCAAAATCCGACACAATCCAACAACAAAGAACAGTTAGTCCATAATAATAATAAGAAGAATAGGGGGATATATAACACATATAACACCTGTCACTCTATCTAATGTCTGACTCAGCAAAACAACCAATCATTATTATTCTCGCCCACACATCAAAGAGCATGTAACAACTTTCAGTACTTTGGATAAACCTAGCGTAATAAATGATAACTTCGAGAGCAAAAACGATTTACTGTGAAATCAATAATTATTTTTCGTAAGCAACCGTCGCTCGAACACTCTTCGTATCAATGAATGTCACCGACCGATCGACACTCTTTTCATTTTAAAAATCAATAGTTCGCTCATCAGTCAATATAATCTTACCGCATAACAGTTAGTAAAAGGTTGGGGTTGCCGAAACAAGAAATGATATCAGCCCATGCAGTCATTATCCGTCGAACTATATCACGTAAGGAGATGTAAACTTACTCAGCAAAGTTAACGGGATAACCATTATCTGTAGTTGCAGACGATACACGACACGGTACTAGGTCGGTCTCAATAACTCACGTATATCCATTTCTTATCTCACCTATAGTTTTGAGCTTAGTATCATCCCATACTTTCATCCCCTAGGTTTACTTGTTTCTTTTGTGACATATTTCTTTTTTAGTTCCTGATTATAGTTACTATAATCAGTTTATCATTCATTGAATTTTCATCTAGATTATTTCATCCCTTGTCGAGCTGATGCAATGTAACTTCTAACAATACATATCTGTGAAAGATTCAGTGCTGTTTATGAAGAAATGATACGTTGTTTGTGTACAGTTGTGATCTACTGAGTGAAGTAATTAAAATGAGACTACCTAGACAAACACTGATTATAAACACCAAATATGTTCCGAAATCTATCAAGATGACATACCTTGTCAACCAACTGAAAGTCCACAAAGCCGGAACTGAAGCCCATAACTCTGGGCAGGCGTCCTAAATACATGAGAAATGAGGAACAGACATCATGCATGTTACGGCTACTATCACAAAATAAATGAAAAAACAAAGCCACGGTTCCCAGTGTTTGACAACTTTGTAGTTTGCACAAATGTACTTAAACCATAGCAAACGTACTGTTTGTGGTATATAGATCTGTTCTAAATAGCAAAGGATTACATGATCTTTCACATCAAATACATGGGTTATGCAGGAGACGGGGTTTCTTAGTTTGAATAGCATCATTAGAAATCTCACTGGAATAAACTCACAGCATTTAAACTTGATGTTACATTAGCATCTTTGTAACTGGAAAGTTGAATTTTGGCCATACGCTCCTGATTCACGACTGACACAACTTTGTCCAAGTTGGTAGTAATAAATAATAATTCCCAGCGCAAATATATTCGACGGTACGAAATGTGTAGAATTTCAAAGGTTTAGCTACTTTTTGGGGTTGGTACTATGTCAAGCTCATATAGGTTATTCCAGAGTCTGAACAGATCAATCTATTCATTCTTCTTAAACCACGTTTTGACCTTGTTAATTATTCGCTTACCAACTTTGAATGTTTTTATGTAAGTGTGTGTGCATTTCTTATCTTACTCATCACATATCTGTAACTTGCTTTGTCTGACTGTATATATCGACTCACGCTTAATTAAGTTGAGTTGACTTACACGCCCTTAATGCGCGTCATTTCGCTTCGCTCTCTTCTCTTCGTTTCGTTTCATTAATCGTTTGTCTGGATCAACGATTGTACGAAATACACGTATTCGAAATCCATCCTCGTGTCTGATTTATTTAATTTCGTTATTCACTAACGCGATTTAAGTCGATAATTATATGCGATATGCATATTACGATGACAATTATTTACACGATCAACCCGGAGTTAGATCATCAGGATACAAAAACTTAGACACTTGGATCAAGGGTTAAAAGCTAGTTCTAACAACATTGTAACGATCATAACATTGGAAATTATACTTGGTAATTGCACAACAGATTCGGCCCATTAGTTGCTTCAATTTAATGACTTAAATGTTATGCAAGATGCAGGGACAACATCGATGACGTCGAATGACTATACACTTACCGGGAAAAGCTAATGATATTACGATCCAAAATAACTATAATATAAAAGTGAACAGTTTAAAATTTAAGATTACATTTCAGGAACTTACTTTGTCATCAAGCAACGAATTTTGTTCATTAAACGGTGAGAAAAATTGAATAAGCAGCTCTCCGAAAGCTAGACATATATACACAGAGATGGTAGCTGCATGAAGCCAGTAAAATGTAGACTGGAAATATAAAAACAGAATTGCAACTGTCAAAGGTTTTGATCAACAGTTCGAATAAGAGTATGAATTAGGTACACTTTCGTAAGTTTCGTACGGTGAACTCATAGACAAATACTATCTCGTGGTGATTAGATAACGTTACCCATAGATTCCATTTCAGTTGCATTTACAAACAACATGTAATTTATTACACTACAAAACAGATCACGACTCAATTATGTTCCTATCAGCAAGTTAGCAAAGTGTGTTGTCAGTCAGTCAGCTACAACGTAGGACCAGGTACATATATGCACCGGTCCAAGTTCACATACTTCGTTAACACAACAAGATGAACACCAAATTCATAGAAGCAGTTACTTCAATGGCAGGAAAAAAAGATTTCACATGAGGATATGATACCGGAAGAAAGAATTAGTTCGTAGAAAGAAAGATATAAAAATAATCTCACGATTTAAAGGGACACAAATAGTGTATACACCTACACCATTGTGGTCGATTCTCAGCCGTGTCACCCAGAGTTTTCAACCCCTGGTTACGATAGTCGCGTGGACCCCAACCAAGTAATCTGCATCTAACAACATGGTTCAGATCAGAAGTTAGTGACTTTACGAACTCATGTCATGTTTTGGTTTGACCGTCCCTAACTTTCTCCCATCCGTCTACAACACTAGTTAGCATTGCACGTCGTGGTAATCGGTGTTCAGGCATACGTAACACGTGGTCCAACCATCTCAGTAGGTGAAGATTCACAACCTCATCAACTGATTTACCATCATTCCCTAATAACCTATGTCTAACCTCACTATTACGTACCCGGTGGTCCCAGCAGATGCGAGCAATATTTCTAAGGCATCTGTGGTCAAATACTAGCAACTTGCTAGTATCTTCTACTCTTAATGGCCATGTTTCACAGCCCTAAAGTAGAACAGAACGAACTGATGAACATTATACTCGTCTCTTAATTGATAAACAGATATCTCGCCATGGCCATAGGTCGCGTAATTTGACAAAAGTCAAACAAACTTTTTGAATCCGTGTGGAGATTTCATCAGACACCAACCTATTACGGCTAATCACACTTCCAACATAAGTGAAGTTGTCGACACGTTCCACCACTCCACTCCCTATTCTTAGTTCAGGTGTTGACGCAGGTCAGTCCTGAAGCAAAAACTTGCACTTAGAAGGAAGTAGACCCTTCCCAAACATCCTGACATTGTTTCCCAGTGCTACCAAAACACTCTGCATTTCATCAGCGTCTTCACCAAACAGGACTATGTCATGTGCGTATTGAGTCGATAAGTGGACCTCCTGGTGGGAGATCAATGCCCGGAAATTCAGTCGACGAAAACTTTATTTCCAGCAATAGGTCTATGTTGAAGTTGAACAAAAATGAAGATAGTGGACAGCCTTGTCGGACACCACTTGAGGTTGCAAAATCAGATGACAGTTCGCCATAAGCTCTCACTCGACTGGTAGTGTTAAAGAGCCTTCACATGGTTTATGTACATCTGAGGTACGCCTTTCTATGACACACTGCCACAGAACCTCTCGGTCTACAGAGTCAAATGCTGCTTTCAAGTCAAGAAAGACTATCATTGTCGGACGCCGATAAGCATGCCTGTGTCCAACAATCTGACGAATGGTGAATATGTGGTCGATTCAGCCACAACCAGGTCTAAAGCCAGCCTGGTTTTCACTTATTCGCGCCAGATAATTGTTGGGGCTAGTATTTTAGATGCTATGTTGGTCAAACCAATCCTTCTATGGTTATCGCAGGATGATTTTGACCCCTTCTTATATATTGCGACAATCAGAGATTTTGACCAGTCAGATGTGATTACGTCCAACTCCCAGATTTTAGCTAAAACAATAATCAACCTAATCGCTAAAACTAGACCACCATCCTTAAAGACTTCTAGAGTTTATTCGTCTGGACCAGCCACTCTTCCTCGTTTCAGATTAGCTATAGCCCTTTGAACTTCAATTAGAGTTGGGGGCCTACATAAATGTTCCATTCAGACTGTCTCGAAATCGTGGGTGGCTGTAGAATAGCTGAAGGCCAGCTGAAATGCTCCTTAAAGTGTTCCTCCCATCGTTCTAAACGTCTGGGCTGAGAGCAGATAAGAATGTCGTCTTTTTCCGGGATCGTCTCACTTACACTTGACTTATTAATTCCAGTTTTTTTGATTAGTCTGAAAAGCTGTCTGGTGTTACCTACAACCTCGTTAACTTTTCCATCTCTTTTGCTTTCGTTGCCCACCACTGTTCACGATCCGTTCCGTAGACTTTTGGTTAACCTAGATCTGGTTTGTTTTCGTTCTTCATCGTGTTCAGAGCCTGATGAGATGAGTTTACGAGAATATATCAGTGCAATAGACTTAGTAAAATTCCACTAGTTTTTCGTGACCCATTGGTTCAGATCACTAATATATGGCGCTGCTGTTTCCGCAGTTGTTCGTATATTTTTCTTAGCAAAGTCCGGGTCAGCTTTGCTTTCAAAATTGCCTAAGTGTGACCTCATCTGTTTCTGGAATTTACCTTTGGCTTTCTCATCGCTGAGTTCGACTCTGATGGGTCTCCTTAAAGTGACTTTTCTGCGTCCAGTGAGGCCCAAGCAAGTGCGTGCTTGTATTAGAGCATGATCAGAGTCTAAGTATGTACTATTAAACAATCGGCAGTCTTCTATCAAGCCTCTCATACGATGACTGATGGTAATATGGTCTATTTGAGTTCATCGTTGGTTTGGTGCAGGTGGTCGCCATGTTAGACGATGTCTTTCTTTATGCTTAAAATTAGTGCTCGTTAGAAATAAACGATTGTCTGAGTACAGCTGCAGCAGATCGTCACCATTATCTGTTCGCTGAGCCGGAATATCAATATACCCACCTAAATGTCTTTGTGTTTTGTCTAAGACACCTGCTTAGGTTTCTGAAGCTCAGAAAGCTATCTGTAAAATTCATCTTCCACTTCATTCGGGTTGCAGTCAGTGGGAGAATAGGCAGAAATGACCAAGAGGCAACGTGTCCCTACTCTTTTGAGTTCTTACGAAACCGTTTAGCCGAACATCACATGGGCGAAGGTTAACAGGGACCCATTCTAATATTGTTTGTCATACCCTCGTACTTGGCATTATGCTTACACCTGCCAGTCTACAAGAACTTGTCATCAAGTCGCCAGATAAACGGAAGGTACATCTCATTGGTTCCCCGTTCTAGCTAGGTGAAACCAAGTCACTTACTACACTTAGATCCTATATGTGTGTTTCGAAGACACAGCATACATCAATCGTACGAGATTCTAGGGTCTTAGCCTAGAAGGCCTGTTGGTCGATTTCATATAGGGTATGTACGTTGAACGCTCCAATGTGTACTTAGGAGTGAGGTTATAGTGGGCCCGGGACAGTATTTCGCACACTAGAATCGTTGGTCATGGTGATACTTGAGGAAAAAGTATGGAGTTGATAGTCGAAGTAGAAGGAATGATAGGGATTGAAGAGGGAGACTGATTATTAATACAGTGGTCTTGAGTGCTGCTAAAAGTATGAGGGCGGTTATCACTTTCTCGTTGCTCACACCGTCAAAGGGTCCTTCTAGAGGTAGCTGAAAAGGAAATTGGGTCAGAGTTGTCTTTAGTGACCTAAGAGTGTGACCACAGTGCCCAAGGGACAACTGCTTGAGGCCAGTCACACACAACCTTTTTGTGGGTGGTTTATCACGACGGGCAAGCCCGATCAGCAAGTCTAATTAGCAGCAACGTTTGGGTAAAGTGTGCTGTTAACTAAATTTTCACTTCACTATCCCATCACCGTCACTACTGTCATCCTAGCTAGTATTATTACCCGGTTTAAGTATGATTGGCGAATACACAAATCAAACTCTCAGAACAACGGCTAAATATTAAAAAGTGATCAATAAACTTTACGATATGATTAGCTAAATAGACCAAGTTAACTGGGAGAGCAGAAACGAGGCAAGACTACAACCATAAATTTATAAACGATAGTGTACGTAACTATGATCATAGGATAACTACCACTAAATATTCCTTGAGAATGACGGTATGATCGAAGCACATAGATGTTCAATTTATAAGTGAACGAAGAATCACAGTCAAAATTACAAGAATAACAAAGCACTAGTAAAGCTACTTAATAATGTAACATATACGGAACAGTTCATTATATAATCTACTTCCATATTTTATAAGGTTGTACAAAAGTAGTGGGATGATTGCTGATCGTATATCAAAACCGAATACACATTAGTACTTAGTTATCCACTCAAACTTAAGTAGAGTATGAATAACCTTTCTCCATTTTTAGTTAGCATATACATAAGAGCAAGAACTCGTAGAAGTCCTACTTGTTTTTTTATCAGTTCTCACCATTTCGAAATGTTACTTATATAATTCACGGCTTTACGAATGAACTGATAGCTTGTATAGCATTAAAATAGTAAGAAATGTCTAGAAATTATGTATAATATGAGATCCATCTCAAAAAGATACATTATAATCTATTTAGGATACTTTGATGAAAATAATTACCACGTGAAAGCTGAAATTTATTCTGATGCAAATAGACGGCAAGCAAATATATGTATTTCGCTTACTTGATTGTACCATCCTCTTCCAGCATATAATAGACCATAAAGACGGGGTAACATGCATACAATTATTAGGCACGTGAAAGCAAACAGCATTTGTGAACGTGGTTGACAAGCACGGCGTTTATACTCGACCATTAACATATAAAAAACCTGACAAATGATAGACAAAACGGTCAAAAATTGATGCTGCTATGGAAAAAGTGAAAGATAAACGCTAATCCACCAAAAAGCAACCAAGATTCAGCTAAATAGTATGTAAAAATGACAGTAGAACTTAAATAAACCAAGTTGAGATTCACTAAGTGGATGCAACCGCATCTGACGATTCATATTTTTAAATTCTATACTATTATCTGTCAGATCACTAAATTACGATATTTCCTTGTTGTTAGTATTTAAGAATACACTGATTTTAAGACCTTTAGCTGGCCACTGAGGAAACAGTTCATTAAAAGTTATGAGTCTGAGTTCTAATTTCATCCAGCTTTGAATATTGGACTAGAAGCTAGTGAAAGTAAAAATAATAGAGATGTGAACCCATAGCGCATTAAAATTGGGAGTGCATCAGCAATATTTTCAGTAAAAAAATGTCATATTGATCATTGGAACATGACAACAATACTTGCACGACCTGACATGACAGAAAATCCTATGTGCCGTGACGAAAGCTATCCATAATTCATGACAAATCTAATTAGTGAATCGAATTTCTGTTTTTAAAATACTTATAGTACTTTTCTCTTTCGAGGAACAGTTAGAACCATTACTATTAGAACTTTTTATATCTACTAGTCGTTAAAAACTTAGATAACAAATAAAATAGAAGCCCACTTACAACTGATACAAACAAAATGGTCATGGAGAAGTACTGAACAGAATCAATGGGATGAGAGTAAGAAACCTCCATACATATGGTCGATATAAGCAATGTAATTACACATACAGCAACTCCAAAACAAAGAACCTAGGACGTTAAAGCTAGAAAAAAGAACAAACCATTCGAAGACACTGTAAAATTCCGAATTTTATCAAAGCGATAGGGAGGTTCCAGGTGTGCTTCTTGAATAGCACGGACAGTATAAACATGCAAAATAAGATTAATCCAGGAAATATAAGCAGAGAAAATTGGAAACATTCCGACAACTTGAAATCTGATCCCCAAACTTCTGTAAGATTCTATGACATTGTGACTAAAATTTATTTTGGACCTACGAAGAAGCTGTCCGAGCAAAACGGTCTTTCATAGAACAGTTGTTCCATCGCGACATTAACAGAACTCATATGAAAATTGATGAAAATTTAATGCAAGCGGTGTGACTAGTGTACTAAGCTCGCATCTCAACCAAGGTCATATCAAACGTACACTATAAAGGTCATCGAATTTGAATGTAGACGAATAAAATTGAAAACACCTTCTCCTTTAATGATTCCTTCAACCAAATCCCTCCATTTTTGCAGCGAAAAGCAGTTGCGAAATCGTTATATGAACTTGAGGGAAAGTTTTACGAGGAAGACTGGAGACCAAATCTCAACAGTACGGATCATCGTTATGCAATCAGTTGAATGGAATTTGTCACTGAGCATCAACTTCCTTGAATATGAGAAGGCGTTTGACATTGTAGATAGGAGAACATCATGTAACCTTCATTGACACTACGGTGTACCTGAGAAGATCGTCGACATCATACAGGATCCTGACTACACTGCAAAGTCTTACATGGAGGACAACTGACAGATGCACTCCAAGTGAGGACCGCAGTCCGAAAAGGCCGCTTACTCTCCTCCTTCCTCTCTCTTCTGGTATCTAACTGGATTATGAGGACCTTAAAATTTCAAGGAAAACACGGAATACGACGAACAGCTCGTAATCATCTAGACGATTTGGACTTCAAAGTTGACCTAGCCCTTCTATCCCATGCACACGAACAAATACAGGTCAAGTCAACCGGTGTAACAGAAGTCCCTGAATTAGTTGACCTTAACATGCACAAGGGAAAAAGCGAGGCCCTCAAATACAACACAAAGCGCACCAACCTAATCACACTTGATAGAGGAGCTTTCGAAGAGGTGAAAACTTTCACAAATCTGGACAGCATTATCAATTAGCCAGGAGGATCTGACTTGGGTTGGAAGGCACGAGTTGGCAAGGAAAGGATAGCATTACTACAGTTGAAGAACATCCGATACTCAAAACAACCGTCCGCCACCATCAAAGTCGCAATTTTCATTACAAACCTCAAGACATTTCTATTGTACAGAAATGAAATTCGCAAAACTACTACAATCGTCATCAAGAATATACAGGTATTTATAAACAATCATTTACGCTAGATACTCTAGAGGCCTTAGTCAGATCGCAACAGCGAAAACCTGGTGTGTCAGAGAACAAACCAACTTCTAGCTGACGAGAAAATTAGGAAAAGATACTGGGGTGGATGGTACTGTAGTTCAAAGTGTAACACCATGTGCTATGTTCCACCCACATAGGTTATTCTGGCCCTCGGACACTCCAATCTATTCATTCTTCTCAAACCCCATTTTGACCTTGTCACTTATTAGCTTATTTATCCTGACTGTTTTCAGATGTGCGTATGTGTATGCACACCTTATCCTGCTCATCACACGTCTGAAGCTTATCTTTATACGGCGATAAATATTGACTAACTCCTGATTAAACCGATTTGGCTCACTTGTTGGCTACAATCTGCTTCGCGCTTCCCTCTTTGTTTCGTCTCCTTAATTGCTTGTTCAAATCGCTGAGTGCACGAAATATACATATTTAAAATCCACTCTCTCATTTGGCCCATATAATTCCATCATTAATGTGCATTAAGTCGATAATTATATAAGAGGATAGACGACATATGTATTTCAATAACAATCATTCATATGAACCAAATGTAGTCTGATCTCGGGTCGCGAAAAGACATACACTGTGGAAACCAACGAGCTGCACCACGCGGCAAGCCCCAAATTGGACTCTTCAGGGTGAAAGAAAGAGAGACAGACCAAAAGACACTTTGCATTGGGAACTGGAATTAGTTATTCAACGAGTGAATAACAACTGGAAACGACTGAGAAGCAGAGTCCAGAACCGAGTTATTTGGAGAATTGTGATCGGTGGCCTATGTTCCCTCACCAGAGGTAACAGGCATAATCATCCCCATCGTCACAAAATAGGCTTGTATGATCAGAATATGATATCAATAATTTAAACGAATCATCTGATTTCACCCTAGTTAGTGTTCATAATCCGAGATAAGTATACTATATCACTTGTAATCACTGTACTAAAATTAAATAAAATTTTATTCCATGTAGAATTTGTTAAGCATTCATTGTTCACATCGTATTATTATCAAAAGCTCTGGTGCAACAGAATCCACAGAACACAGAGGCAGTCCATTCAAACCTTCCCAGATATGCCATCCAACAAACAATCGAAGAATTGAACACCGTCATCAAAGACATCAAGTTAAAGAATTCATCAGGGTCAGACAACATACTAGCCGATGCATTGAAGGCAGACATAGAGGTGACCGCAATGTTGCAATGCACTTTATCCAGAAGAATTATGGGGGAAGAAAAGGTGATCACTGACCGTAATATAGGAGACATTGTCAGAATAACATAGAAAGATATTAGCAAGTTTGATAACTATAGAGGGATCACAATATTATCAGTGCCAAGGAGTTTCCAGTGGTCTTGTTGAACCGAATGCAGGATTTAGTAGATGTCCAACCTCGAGATCAACGGGATGGATTCCATAAATATTTTTCACGTACAGACCAAATTGCAATACTATGGATTGTCTTTGAACGATCAAATTATCTGTAATACTCAAGAATCGCCCTACTCACACACTGTCTATCCCGTATTGTAGAAAAGTTATCTGAATTCCCTGAAATCAGGAGTCCAGTAAGCGATGAACACCAAAATAAGGTGAATCCCCAAAAAATAGGACTTATCAAACGTATCATCGATCACAAACTTCCCTTTTGTTGGCTTCCGAGTGCTTCACGATTACAGGTCTAACACTACAAGTAGTGATGCCAATGTTTTCATACCTATTTCCTTCAAAACCTAAGAATTTCCATTCCTATGGATGTTTTTGAGATGAACTCTCCCCGGTAAGCTCAATCAATAAAGAAGTATAAACTTCATATTTAACCATATTCTTAGAAACCACAGTCAATAGGAGATAGATAACACATATGTCTCCAAAAATAACACAATACTTTTCTTCTGTAGGAGAGACAAACAGCAGATATAGATTCAGCTAAGCCAGAAAATGTACAAACAACAAATTGAGGATAAATATGATGAGTGGTTAGCGATGATAGTGTAGAAAAAGTTCGACAGTTATTACTTAAGAGTCATCAACGGCCAGATAAAGCCATGACTTCTCTACCTCTTATTTCTGTGTTGTCCGCTTTATGATAAAAATCATGACTGGGAATGTAAGCAAATGCGGAGACGTGACAAGAACTGTTTGCTATAAGAAGCTCTTCGTTGTTATGGTATTGACTGAACTACATATACAACTTGAAAACTGATTTTTCTTCATCAAATGTTCTTCCTTTACCAGTACTAATGGTGTATCAAAAAATTTGCACGATTTTTATTTTTTCTTCATCATGGTTTCATGAGGTAGGTATACCAATAACGTTAACAAGCAACTGTTTGTGACAATTAGAAGATTAGTGTTTGCTCCATAAGTACCTGTTTCCCTATTCTACATTAGTTTAGAAACTTCGCTAAAACGTAGAGTTCTTTATATAAGTTTCTCCACTGTCTTAGTTTATTCCGGTAAATACCAGCAAGATTTATGGTGCAAAAGAAAATAAACTTTTACCAAGCTTTCATGATATCTGAGACGCTACACATTCTTCTCTTCTAGTATGTTTTCGAAACAAAAAAATAAAGGTTGCGTATACTTGTCATATTTATATTTAAATATTTCAATACATGAGAGAACATGGAAGTGGCCAATATTAAACACAGTTATCGTCAGCTTGTAAATTGTTCGTTCACAAAATCTTCCATTCTCAGAAATTCGATAAGTTGTTCATTCGTGTAGACTTGAACACTAGAAGGATTTCAGCTTTTTAGTTGGTTGACAAAAAACATAAGCTGCACATCAGAAAACATGGATAGCTCTCAAGCCCAATAAATGCAGTTCTGTTAAAAATCAATCAATCACGAAACTAACATTTAAGTTTTATTTTGTGTATCAGATTCAGTAAGTAAATCTAGATAACAATTAACGGAATGTTGCTATAAATGTCTCACTTGTTGTAAACAATGCCCTTCGCTTTCCAACCCTACTGGAATTTTACCTAGGCATTTAGTATTTGCAGACAAATGGTAGGCACCAAATAAAACGATTCACCAACGTTAAGTACTTCCATGAAATCTGAGAAAGATTCAATCGTGAACTTCATAATGCTGACGATAATTCACGCTTGACATAAAATGTGAAATAAATGGAAAGAACAGTTTGCATAATACTCATCCATATGAACTAGATCTCTGTCTATAATTTGATCATTGCTTGAAGATTCTGTTAACAGAAGTTCATTCGTTAACCTTATAACAGTGTGATCATTTGAAGTATTGGAGTTATAGTGCAAACTAGGAATCCCAGAAATAACATAATTTAACCCAAAAGAACTAAGTGAGCACGAACGAACGTATTGTATTTAGAACTCGAGATCAGACAGTCATCAAATACAAAGGAATCACTAGTGCATGCAAACACCACGTCCGCCACAGCTTAAATTGGAGCCTAAGTTTGTGTAATGGATTGTATGTCTTCTCAAGTTCATCCTGTGTCTGTCCGATAGTTTATTGGATAAAAACTCTATATTATCTAGAATGCACTCATCACTATTAGAATTGACAATCGAAGTTGGAACAGATTCATCTGGTTCCTGGTTATATATACCCGAGTCGTTGATATCTGCAATCCGCACCATGGATTTTCCGACATTCTTCCCCATAATCCCCGTAGCTGATCGAAGACCATTCCCATGATATTATGTAACTCCTGCAAACTCCAAACACCTGATATTCGAACGAAGATTTCTTCCTTATAGTAGCTTTGACGGAGTCTTTTTCGTCACAGCACGGTGGACCCAGCAGCAACCAGAACTCGCTTCCGAAGCCACCTTTTGTCGTGGCTTGGAAGATACCCGTTTAGGGCGAGTTGTTCCGGCCTTAAGTGACTGCGACCCAGACCGAGGGTCGTAGGGTTCTGGTATATTAGATCGGTCTCTAAAAATGAGACTATCGTTGAGATCGGTTTAGCATCATCCATTGAGTGACTTGCTAATTAAGTCCTCCCTCGATGGAAAGAAATGTCTGAG